CAAAAGATGTGAACAAATTCTTCACCAAGAAGATTACAGATGGCGAATAAGCCTGTGGAAAGATGCTCAGTAACATGTATCATTAGATAATTGCAAATCAAAACAAAATAACCACTACACACCTACAAGAATGGCTAAAATCCAGAGCACAACACCAAATGCTGGTGAGGATATGTAGCAATAGGAACTGTCATTGGTGATAGATGCAAAATGACACAGTCACAGTGGTAGACAGGTAGGTTTTTCAGAACTAACCGTACACTTACTGTAGGGTCCAACCATAACATTCCATGGTACTTACTATATAAGTTGAAAACATGTCCACATAAACATTTGCACTGAAATATTTATAGTAGCTTTATTCGTAACTGCATAAGATGTTCTTCAATAGGCAGATGGACAAACTGGTACATCCTCACAATGGAATACTATTCAACAACAAAAATATATGAGCTATCAGGCTGTTAAAAAAACATGAAGGAACTCTGAGTGTGTATTGCTGAGTAAAAGAAGCTATTCTGGAAAGGCTACATACTTTATGATTTAAACTACATGACATTGTGGAAGGGGCAAAACTATGTTGCCAGTAAAACGATTACTGGTTTCTAGGGGCTAGCGATGGGGGGAGCAAGGCAAGGAGGAGGAATGAATAGATGGAGTGAACACAGAGAATATTATTCTGTATGATACTGTAATGTATAACATGTTATACATTTTTCAAAACCTATAGAATGTACTACACAAAGGCGATCCCTGATGTAACTATGAACTTTAGCTAATAATACTGTATCGTATTGGCTCATTAATTGTAACAAATGTACCATGTTAATGCAACATGCTAAAAATTGGGGAAACTGGTGGGGAGGAAGAAAGGCTTGTATGGAAATTCTTCTACTTAATTTTTATGTAAACCAAAAAATGTTTTTTTTTTTTGTAAAGGTGTATTCTTTTAAAAAATTAATTTTTTGGAACAGAAAATGATATAGACATTTGAAATAATCACAGAATTATCTGTAAAAATACTAATTTATTTTATAAAATTGTGTGTCATTCTCTATTTAATTGTTTTATGACTTGAATTGGAAAAAATAAATCATATTAATAACATTTCTGACTTTGATTTACATGTATCTTTTATACAGTAGTTCCTTTAAATACAAACCTGATTCCTCTCTTGTTACAACTATGATATTCTTTCCCAAGACTTTGAATTACCTGCTAGAGTAATAGAATATGTAACTTTTTCAGGCTAATTTAATTTAACCAGCTTTGTTTATAGTTGTGGTCTAAACTGATGTAAGTGCCTGATGGCTTTATAATTTGTGAGGATACTAATGTAGTCTGTGGTGAAATTCACAAAGTAGTAATTTTGTAATATGATACTCAAAGACTTACTATAATTTATCCATTAATTTCCATTTAAAGATAAAAAGCCAACTTGTCTGCATTTAAAAAATATTAAACATGATATAATCCTTTTATCCTAGAATGTTCAAGATGACTTTATTAAGAGAAATTTTATTATTAATAGTTAACTTATATTTAAAATATAAAATATTTTGTTTGGAGAGCATGTGTAAAGTTTTGCTTGTGCCAACAAGTATTAAGAGAGATTGCATTAATTTAGGAATTATTTGTAGACTTATTCATGAGAAATAGTGTAACTTGTTTGCAATTATGCCAGGTATTCAACTTTTGTAGCAAATATATCACTTTCTGTTTTCAGATTTTGCTCTTAATTTATGTTTATCAAAATAATGATCTTACTTTGGGGACTTTAAAAGGTATTTCTGCCAATTAATTGGAATATATACATAATGTGAACTGTACTTAATAAATAGGAAGAAATGTGTATAATATTTTGGAATTGAGAAAAAGCCAGAGTTGCCTTCCTCATGTTTATTTTGTATATTTGCATGCTTTAAGGGCTCCATCACATTTGCTGTCCATGAATTTCTTATGCTGTATGGCAGGGGTCCCCAACCCCCAGACCACGGACCGGTACCAGTCTGTGGCCCGTTAGGACCCAGGCCACACAGCAGGAGGTGAGCTGAGGGGGAGCAGAGCTCCATCTCCTTTCAGACCAGCAGCAGCATTAGATTCTCATAGGAGCGTGAACTCTGTTGTGAATTGCACATGCAAGGGATCAAGGTTGTGCACTCCTTATGAGAATCTAATGCCTGTTGATCTCCTCCCTATCCACCCCTTCCCCCACCTGTGAAAAAAATTGTCTTCCATGAAACTGGTCCCTGATGCCAAAAAGGTTGGGGACCCACTCCTGTAGGAACTCTGAAGTGAAAGTTACAGTTTTTAATATAGTCTGCATGGTTCAGGGTAAATTTTATATGGAGTGTGTTTCTTTTTTGAGAGAGAAAAAGATAGGAAGGCTTCAATCATTGGAATGCTCATAATTTGAAAATCTGTTTTTACTTTTCAATGTAACATTTTTTCATACTGCTCATAAAGCATGTTATAGATATATAATCACTGATTCATGTGGTTTGGCAATGTATGTGATTATTGGAATGTTTGTAGCTAAGCATTTAGATTAGTAAGTCTCAAAAGATCTCAATAACTAATTCACTGTAAATAATTTTCTTCAGGGAGGGTTGCACAGCTGTGAGACACTTGGTGGACTTCCAGATATGCATAAAGACTCATAGTTTAATAACAAAAGGAGGGTTCATTTTTGAAGAACTAATTCAGGATTATAACACAAACTTATGCCACAGCCAATATGCAAAAAGTTCTAAGGAAAATGCCCAAATTCTTCCTTCAAGATGGTGTTAGGAAAGAAGAAACAGAAAAAAATTATCGGCAAGAAATTATGCCCAGTGAAAAAAATTAAAAAGTTTTAATTCATCTGTGGAATAAAAAACTCAATTCAGTATTTTAAAATTTTTCTTTAAAAATGACAGTTGATTGTAACTATATAAGCAGCACTTTAAGTTTTTCCTATGTGTGTCTTTGCTCTGGCAAGTTTCACTGATTGCATAACCTTTATTTCAAATTATATTATAAAATTTTTGGTTACTTTTACAAGAAGGAGAAGAAGCTAGCAGGAAAACTCAAATATGGCCAGATTCTGACATTTCATATATGAGTTCAATTTTAAAATACACTTGACCTTTAATATATTACATGGTATGCCATACACTGAAGACAAATTATTGTTATTATCTCAGCATGTTCCAACTTTCCATCTTTTGCTGCACATAGATTTACCTACAAACTGCTCGTAAAGAATCCTTTATTTTGCCAACATTCATATAATTTTTTGAAGAATCTGTTCTTTTTTCCAGTTATAAACTGAAATGCATTTAGTTTTTGGTTAGTGTTTTTAAATTTTTCTCCTCCATATCTTCACAGTCTGGAACTTGTTTTTCAAATGATTATGCTGGAATTCTACTCAAATATAGATATTCAGTAAAGATTTATTGAGCTTCTATGTGCCAGTCACTAGGGAATCAAAGATGAGAGGAAATGGTTCTTGCATTTGAAAAGTTGGGGAGAATGACCTAAAAACATATGGTCCACTAAAAAATAGAATGTAAGCTTTGCAGAAGCAGGGATTCTTGTTTGTTTTTATTTATTGCTATATTGTCAATAAGTTGAATAATTCTATGGGGGAGTCAGAAAAGCTTCTCAAATGAGATAATGCTTCAAGTATGAAAGAGTTTGTCGGGTAAAAAGGAGACCAAGGATATTAACATCATACAAAGACATGATATGATAATGAAAGAGAGTGAAATGTTTAGGGAACAGTATAAAATTCTGAGTGACAGCATGATAGGAGGACAGTAAAAGGAGATGTAACTTCACTGAGTGGTAGATTGTAGCCAAGTCATAAAGGCCTTGTGTGATAAGCCAAGGAATATAGACATCAGAGAACCAACTGTGTCCAGTAATCAGAGAAACCCAGAAATTTGAATTGCTGTTAATATTAAAACTTTATTTTGCGACCATTACTATTACACAAATATTTTGTCATATTTTTCCTTTCAAGTCCTATTCACACATAAAAATGCATATAACTTCATTTAATCAAGAATCCCTAAAATAAAAGTTAAAAATAAGTTTCAAAAAAAATCTCTGGAAAGTACAAACTGATTACTAATTTATTACTAAGTGAGCTAAAATTTATCTTTGATTTTGTGAACTCTAGTGACTCTCTTTTTAAGGACTTATCAATTGTAACTACAAATGCAGTTTTTAAAAGAATAATCCAGTTTAAAACTTATCTTTAAAAACATAAGCTTTTAAAATTTTTATATGTGATTTGGTTAAGCACAAAATTGACTATTTTCTCAAGAACCTGATTCTTATGCTGATTGCAAATTCTATTTTCTATAAATGTTTCTACCTAAAAGTTTTAATTATACTATTATACTTTAAATAAGTGATACTGATGTGATTAGCATTCTTGTCCTACCAGGAACAGATACTAACTGTGAAATTAAATCCTTTTGATTATGAATTACATAAAAATTTCTAAGAAAGATATGAGTGACTTGGAAACTTTATTTGGTGAAGAGTATAAATGTAAGAATGATTTACTCTTAGAATTCAATCTCATTAAGAAGAATGGCTCAGAATTGCCTAGAGAAGTGGGCATATACTGTCCCAAAACTTTTTTTGAACTAATGATATTGAGTTCTTTTCAATGTTTCCATTCAATGAATTTCTCAACCCTTGGTTTTGAAAACATAATGCTAATTAAAGTGTCTACTGTTTTTAATGCTGTTCTCATTGTAACTGCTAATAATAAAGAGCATTTTTCTGCTTTATATAAAAAATTTACATTCAAAATGTTGTGTGTGTTCTCTGATTTCTTTTCTTACAGCTTGCCAGTATTTGCCGTGCTGAAATGTTTTAATTTAAAATTTCCTTCCTTTGTATCTTTTAGTTTTCTCTGTTGCTGCTTTTTCTGTGACACAAGCCTTTCATTATAGTCACTCTTCTTTTTTCCTTCCCCACTTCTTTCTTTTCCTTTTTTAAAGCCATGAGAAGCCGATCCATTGGTGAATGTGCTCTGCCATCGGCCTATATACGCAGTGCTAAAAGTGCTCCTGTTCTGATCCATACTTCCAAACCCTTCTTGCCTGATATTGTTCTCACTCCCCTTTCTGATGAGCTTTCAGGTAGTGCCACCTCTGCTAATTTCTGCACCACCTTTTTCACTTTTTAATCCTCTGCTTTCAAATTTTGCTTAATCAAATAAACTCTTTAAAGTTAATTTCTTTGGGGGAGGTATGGGAAATGGGGAAAGTGATTGAGAAATCAACATTTTGAGTTATTTGAACTCTAATGCTATCCTTGCAGTTCATTCTGGAAGTGCTAAGTTTAGTGCTGTGCCAATGTCCAGTATTTTTGGTTGTAAATGGCCAATTTTTAAAAAACTTGTTTGATTTTATTTTTTCTCTCAGGTGGTTAAAAGAAGTAGTCATATATATTTGTATCATAGATATCTTGCAAGAGATGACTTGGAAGATACTTAGAGCTTTGACTTTAAATTTCCCATTGTTTGGACTAATATGGTAAATCTTGAATAATTTATTCTCTGTCCTCTACAGTAATGGAATAAGTAAGGACAATTAATATTTGGGGGAAGTACATACTCTAAAAAAGGCTTTGGAATAAATTTTTATATTTATGCTATATGTAATCATATGTAAAATTCTAAGGATTCACTCATTATTAAACCATTCTGTGAAACCCCAACTTCCAAGGAGCTTCAAACCCTGCTCAGCTTTCCAATTCTGCCTTAGATCCTGATCCCTAGTGCTGAAATGGTCTGTTCTTTTAGGAAGATTTCATTTACATGTAGTAAAATGCATAGATCCATAGAGATTCCGTTCCGTGAGTTTTGAGAATTGTACACACCTTTATTAACCATCACCCCAAAGAAAATATAGAGCATTTCTCCTACCTCAAAAGTTCCCTAGTGACCCCTTTGAGTCAGTAACTACACACTCCCCTCTCCATGCACACATAACCACTTTTTAATTTCCATCACCATAGATTCGTTTTGCATTTTAAAAAATGTTTTTGCATAAATGTTTCAAACTTGTATTGAGTACAGAAGTGTGCAAAATGTGCTAGGTCAAAGAAACTTACTTGTATATTCTTAGGTACTTGCCTATCACTGTTTTTAGGAGTATTTCCCTTAACATTGCCGCTTTTGGTGCGGTTGCTGTTTTGTTTTTTAAGCCTATTTCCATACTTTCAGTTCCTAATTGACTGTAGGTTTATGTGAGAGAAGGTGCGTTTTTATTAATAATATTGATACTGTAGGTGAAGTCCCTTCTGCCATCCCTAATTGCATTAAGATCAGAGATTTATTCCATACCAAGGAGAGTAGCATAATTAACAGTTACATATATGTAGATACAAAGACATATGTGTATATATGTCTCGTGCTTGGTATTCTTTGGAAATACTGTAAATGAAAAGACTTAGTATTTATTTTTCTCAAAATGAGAAAATAAAGCTTTCAACTGTTGGATGTGATATATGTGTGTTTTCTGGTTCAGAATACCTTGACTGGGAAACAGTTACTTCAGAATAGTTTTTATGTTTTTGTCTGGGCATGGTGGCTCACACCTGTAATCCTAGCACTTTGGGAATCTGAGTTGAGAGGATTGCCTGAGCTCAAGAGTCCGATACCAGCCTGGGCAACATGGTGAGACTTTATAAAATAAAAAAATTAGCCAGTCATGCTGACATGCTCCTGTAGTCCCAGCTATTCGGGTAGCTGAGGCAGAAGGATTGCCTGAGCCCAGCAGGTAGAGGCTATGGTAGCCGTAATGGTGCCTCTGCACTCCAATCTGGGCTATAGAGTGTGGGAAAAAATAGTTTTTATGATGTTTTTGAGAAGTGTTTGAGTATTACTTTGAAACCATAATACAAGTAATTGGAAATAACTTACAATGAAATTGGTGGTTGATTTTGTAGTTTAGTTGTTGTCAATAATAACACAAAAAATTTGACAACAATCCATCAATCCAAACCTGAATGCTTAATAAGTATTTGATGTATGAGTGAATATACTTTATACCTGTAAAATTAGGCAACCCGGATATTTAAAGCTATCAGTGCAAAGAACTGGTAAGGTTACAAAGCATATGGATGGGCCAGGCTTGGTGACTCAGCCTGCAATCCCAGGACTTTGGGAGGCCGAGGTGAGTGGATTGCCTGAGCCTGCGGGTTCAAGATCAGCCTGGGCAACTTGGCGAGGCCTCGTCTATGCACTAAATAACAAACTGGCCGGGTGGGTAGCGTGCACCTATAGTCCTGGCTACTTGGAAGGCTGAGGCAGAAGGCTTGCTGGAACCTAGCAAGTTGACACTGGGGTGACTATGAATGTGCCATTACACTCCACCAGCCTGAGTGATGGAGTGAGACTCCAACTCAAAAAAAAAAGCATATATAGATGGAATAGAGTAAATTTTAATAGATGTGAGAAAATGGCACATATCTTTGCTTTATATAATGCTTAGCTATAAATAATTAGAATATTGTCCCTTCAGTGCTGCATTTAAGCACTGTATCTTCCTATGTAAGTAGCACAGATTTTAGTTGCTTACATCAAATTATAATATAGTTACTTAAATTGGCAAATAAAACATTGTTTCTGTTCTTATAACTAAATTAGTTACAACTAAAAGAAACTCTTAGTTTTTTTGCTTCAAGTGCTTTAAAAATATGTACTTAAATAATTTAGTGCAAACCATTTTTGACATATTTAGAAAAATTAAAGTGAAGTTTTGGCCACTAATTCTTAAACGTTTGATTGGATCAGATTCTACTCCTGCCTTAAAAAAACTGCCAGAAAGATTCATTTTTTCCTCAGAATCTTAAAGGATTTACAAAATTTCTTGTCTGCGTCTTAAATAATTTTTGGTGAATATTCATGTTAAGCACTAAAGTTTTTTTAAAAACTAAAATGAAAGAGAAGACTGTTTTCTTTAAAATGTTCTAGAGTAGTGCCATAACCAGGGTGAGAAGTTTCTATGTCAGAATTCTTGCATTACTGTAAATACATCATTCTAAAATTACCTTTTTATAATTTAAACTTTTGTGAAGAGTGTTTTGAAGAAATTTTCTAGATGATACTTTTATTTGTCATTGTTTTTATTTTCCCTATCAAGGGTAAAAGTCTTCTATGAGAAATTTAAAGATGTAAATATTGAGACATTACTCATTCAAAACAAACTTTATATCTCATTTTCAAAATGACATTCATTTTAGAAAATGTAGTTCATATGGAAAAGAATATGAAAAACTAAACTTACTCCTCCAGAACCAATGCTAATTTAGTGATTAAAAAATGCTTTTGCTGCCAGTATTTATACATATGTACATTTAAAATATAAAAGCATAATTATTTTGAATTAAAGATTATTTTTCTCTTAGGACTTAAAAGAGACAAGGAGTATATTAAATATATACTAAATACATTAAAGTATATTAAAATAGCATCCCTCCTTTCCTCAGAATTGACTTGTGTATGAAGTCTGCATTTTTCAAGCTGATGTGTAAATTTAGAGTATGTTCCAGGAGATGTAAATAGTTGTATAGAGAAAATGGTTAAAGATTCATAATACACATCAACATATCAAAGACTTCCAGAAATCCTGTTTTTAGAGAGCAAAACAAACAAAACAAAGTTTATAATCTAATAATTCTATAACTTATTTATAGAATACCTTCCAGGTTACACATATTGATATCCTGTGGCATTAAGTTTCGAGAGAGAACAAATTTGGAGAACACTTAATTGACCTCATAATTTTAAAAATTAGTACTATGAAAATTGGACAGAACTGATCTTCTACCAGTTTACATTGTAGAAATGTCAATTATTGGATTGATTATCACCTTTGTGATTCTTGGAGGCAAATTGAAGATGTTGAGTTTACTTCTTCACTTGTTAGATGCAGAGAAAGGGAGAGAGGAAGAGAGAAGAGGTAAATTATTTACATGAAGTTACTTTATTTGTTAAAGTAGTGATAAATTTCAAAATGAAATCACAAAAATCTTAGCTTTTCAACCATCAAACTATTTGTTTATGTTTCTTCTAAGATTCAGTTCAATTTTAATGTACAGAGAGAATGGTTTAATGTACAGAGAACCATATAAAAGGGAAAAAGTAAATTTTTAAATGATTTTATATCTCTCCCTCATCGAGCAATCTTAAATAAACTAATTATAAAATACTTTGTGAGTATATCTCTGAGATCAGGAGTTGAGGTTTCTGCAACTACCTGACCAAAATACCCAATGAAACTACTCACAATCACTCTGACTTGTGGTTAGAAGTAGAATTTGTCAGAAAAAAAAAAATTACCTGATACTTTTTAATAATTTGGAGGATAAAAAGAAAGTGTCTTTAATTTCTTTTTTTAAAAAACATACTAAACTTTTTAAGAATGGATCATCAGTTTTCTAAGTAACCTTTTTGTGTCCAGCCTTTTTTTCTACTCCGGTGTTCTTGGTTACTTGCCCCTGTTCCTTACATTGTTGTGTGATGCTGTATGAGATAGCTTTATATACATACATCTATACACCAAACTAGTTGAATAGCTGAATATTCTTGAAGAGTTTTTCTTAAACTATGGGGACCAGTTTGAGGACATTGGCAGTATGTCGATGTTACTATTTCTCAACATCAGACTCATCTATACCAGCTGAAAAAATATATATAAGCGTCAATACAACATGCTGGGGTTGTTCTAATGTCAAACTTCATTTTTTACAGCTCTACTAATTCTGGTGTCTGGGCAAGCACATTTTTCCTGGCCTGTCTCTCATCAGTCTTAGAAAATTACTGCACTAGGTTGTATTTTTACACATTTGGTAGCCCAGCCTAGCAGTCATTATTTTCCTGATAAGCTCATTAGAGAGAAGCCAGAACTCTCAATCGTCTTTCTTAAGCAAATTAGATTTTACCGCCAAGAATAATACTTCAGTGAAAGAAGGGATATAAAAGTATGTAAGCATGATAGGCAATTTTGTATATACTTCTCTGTGTATATAGTTGTTTCTCACCATTTTCTAATCGAGTACTTGGAGTTTCTTACTCTAAAATTAAGCTTTCAGACTCACTTTCTTCCATCTGGGCCATAGTATGTAGGTTGCTAATGTTTAAGAACTGATATCTTATTATTAACAACACTTTGAATTGAGCTCTTTGTACTTCTGTTTCTGACTATCAGGAGAAAGAAAATCGTATCTCTCATATGCCTATCCTATTCCTAAAGTCTGCCTAGTCAGAAAGAGAATTTTCCATCTGTAATCAAACAAGTAGGTCCTTCTTGATATAATCAAAAATTTCTTCCTATTATTAATATGCAATAGGATATTAATATTTTACTGCTTTTTTTCTGCCTGTAATCTGCTGGGTATACCATAATTCCAAATTAGATTTTTAGGGGCTTTTTTGCTGAAATAGTTTGTTACTTTTTAAATAAGAGCATCTCAAGAAAAATTTGGAGGTAACTTCAACATACCGTTGTATAACATGTTCATAAATGAAACACTAATTTTCTTAACATAAAAAAATACCTTAATCATTTGTCTATGTTCAGAATTTAAAAGTCAGGAAAATAATATTAGAATCAAAGACAAGCTAGTTTAGTGAGCTAAATTTTATGGTTTAAAGTAAAATGTATTTGAGCTTTGTTGCTTTTAAGTCTTTTCATATGATTTTAATAATGTAAATACTACTTTGAATTACTTACAGATTGCACATCTAATCTTCAAAAGAGAGTTTTTACTAGCTTCTGTTAGTAATAAAGTTTCAAACATAGATATTCTGTAGTACTTACCTTAAATGCACATTGCCATTGTTGCCTGTATAGGTAAAAACTTAGATAATTAGCAGAAAAAACAATCTCAAAGTGACTTCAATTTCAATATAAACTAGTGTAAATGATTTTATGAATTGAGGAGTTATAAAAACATTATTACTGATAGGCAGCATTTGTGCTTGACCAAGAAAGTAATTTAACTTTAGTAAAAGAAACTTTGGCACTTGATTCTGTAAATTATTTCAGAAATAATAATAATTATTATTAATATTTAAAGCAGGATTTATTGAGAGAACAAAAAAGCTTCCACAATGGGAGGGGACCTGAGGGGATTGCCCGATTTCAGAAATTATTTTAAAAATTTTAGGTCTGTGTTACTATTCTAACTGAAGAGTGTTTTTTCCCAAGGAACTTGGTTTTAACCAATTAGCAGCTACTGATTTTTTTTAAAAAAAATATACTTTTCTTCTAGCTCATACTATGGGACAAGTTCTTTTTCAAGCAACAAGGATATTATGATGAATACGACAAAAATTCTCAAAAAACTTAAATTCTAATAGGAAGGATTTTTTTTCCTTACATGTTACAAGCTAATAGTATACTTTAATGTACAGCTTACCTATCAAACTAGGAAACTTTTCTTTGAAACAAAATACTCAGAAAAAAGCCTACTGTTGTTTTTGAGTTGGAGTCTCACTCTGTCATCCAGACTGGAGTACAGTGGCACAGTCACATCACTGCAGCCGCAACCTCCTGGGCTCAAAAGATCCTTCCACCTCAGCCTCCCAAGTAGCTGGGACTACAGGTGTGTGCCACTATACCTGGCTAATTTTTTTATTTTTTTGTAGAGACACTCTCAAACTCCTGGACTCTGGACTCAGGCAGTCTTTTCTCAGCCTCCTGAAGTGCTGGGATTACAGGCGTGAACCATCCCACCCAGCCTCTGTTTTTTTAATTTAGAAAGAATGTGTATACCCTAATGCTAAACATTATTAAGGAAACCCAGAGGTAAAACTTTACATTTCTGTAACTTTGTAGGTTTTATAGGAAAGTAACCGGGCATGGTGGTGCATGCCTGTAGTCCCAGCTACTTGGGAGAATGAGGAGGAAGGATCTTCTGAGTCCAGGAGGTCAAGCCTGTGGTAAGCTGTGATCTGCTACTGCACTCCAGCCTGGGTGACAGAGTGAGACCCCAATATTTTTTAAAAAGTGTTTTTTTAAGCCGGGCTCGGTGGCTCAGCCTGCAATCCCTCATCTTTGGGAGGCTGAGGTGAGTGGATTGCCTGAGCCCGCGGGTTCAAGACCCACCTGGGCTTCGAGACCTCATCTCTACAATAAATCAAAAAATCAGCTGAGCATGGTAGCACATGCCTGTAATTCCAGCTACTCGGAAGGCTGAGGCGGAAGGATCGCGGGAGCCCAGCAGGCGAGGCTGCGGTGGCCGGGAGCGGCCACTGCACTCCAGCCCGGGCGACAGAGTGAGAGTCCAACTCAAAAAAAAAAAAAAGTGTTTTTTTTATTAAAGGATTTTTGTTTTGTTCATTAAATGATTTATGATTATACTTAGATTAAAATTCAATTTAAAAGCTTCTGTTTCCCAAGCAGCGTAATTAAATTGTTTTGGAAGGCATTTTTATTTATCCTTGATGCCAACTATTATTTTTAGCAATTCAGTACAAACCTTTCCAGTTTCCTAAGATTTGGTTAGGTTTTGATTACTAAGATTCTTATGAGATAAATCACTGTGCTGCTTTATAGTTTCCTAATAATACAATTAATTTTTGCCAACTTAGTTAATGATTATTTCTTGAGTATAAAACATAAATAGCATGTATGATTCAAAAGATTTAAGAGTATGGACTACTTTCTGCTTGACTTCACATCATAACACCTCACTTTGTAATTATAATTTTTGATAAGTCACTTAAGCAGTTTATCTGTAAAATAGGGATAACAACACCTACTTCATGGGGTTGATGTGAGGATTAAATTAATTATATGTAAGGTGCTTAGAACAATGTCTGTCATGTAGAAAACACTGTATACAGTTTAGCTATTAGTGTTTTTCTCAGTAAAGTTCAAGTATACTGTATTTGCTTAAATAAATGTATGGCTTGTTAGAGACAACTATGCTTAATTCAAGTGCTATTTGCATTGGCATAATACAAACCTTTGTAGGTCTGAATTCAGCATATTTAAATAAAATTCCAACTATGAAATTATTAATAATTCCTATAGCATAGTTATATAATCCTTATTCTTTGCTGAGTTCTTTAGAATATTATGTGGAAACTTGGGAGTGCATGTTGAATATAATCTCCATCCTCAAGGCAGAGGTTCTTATGCTCTATTACAGGAGATACAAAAGATCAAAAATTTACATTTGTCAAGATACACAAATGCATATTAGTTATCTGTTGTAATAATAAATACTTAGTATAAATGTGAAGTTTTTAAGGAAATGTTTTGCTTTCTGTTTAGAACAATTTCCAAGTTGAAGTGCTTTAGGAAGAAAGCCAGTGTCATTTCTTAAAAGTTTTACATTTCTCTCAGTTTTATGACCAAAAAATTTCATTGCTTTAACTTAAGGAGATACTGTATATTTAACTCATGTTTGGAGCCTACTAGTATTTCTTCAGGAATACACTAGAATCTTGGCACAATACAGACCTCTTGATCAGAATTTAATATAAAGTAGAAGACCTCATACAGAAAGGGTGATATTAATTAAATCTCAGAAGGATAAGCCTCCTCTCATCCATAGTATGGATCCCACAAATACTTCGAAAGACTATCTCCATTTTATAAATGAGGGACATGGTCCCAGAGTCTAGAATTAGAAGAGACTCCAACTCAAAAAAAATAAATAGAAAAGAAAATCTAAATTCTAGACCTAGGACCATTATTACCAGTATTACTTTGTGATCTTGGATAAGTCATTGCTTTACTCTGAATCTAAATTTTCTCATTGTCGAAGGCAGCTATGCTCACCACTATACCACCAATGGTGCACAAAATTTTCTAATTTTGATTGTTCACTTACAGTTCTGTTGCATTTAACTCTTATGTTAAAAGCCTGAAAGTAGCAACAGTTGACTTTTTGACTTTTTGTCCTTTTTTCTTTATATTTTGCTGGCTTCTGAAAACAAATTTCTTTTATTATTTAAGGTAACTTAAAGACCATGATTAATTCATAGACAATGTATTTTACTTTTTAAAGTTCCTGTTGAGAATTTTTAGACATCTGAATAGTTAAATGGTATTTCATCTTGGGGTTTTCAATTTTATAAATGTTTTTGAGTGTTAATTATATACCTAGCACTTCAGGCAGTGAAAATGATGAAGTGACATGGAGCACTAAGCCTATTTTTCAAACTTCATAATTGTGAATTTGATAAAATAACTTAATCTCTGGACCTCAATTTTTTCATCTGTACGAGAGTTAAATTAGATAATCTCTGTCCATTTTAGCTCCAAAGTCTATGATTTCTAAAAAGTAGATATTGGAAACCATAGATATTTCCTATAGTTTGGTGGCTATTTAATAGAAAGGGCCAATAATAGGCAAGGTACAGTTTTTTCCTTAGCATATTTAAATGGCCTTTTCGCCCAAAACAAAAAAGTACAATTAATTTTGTATAATATTTTGACTTTATTTGAATAGCGAATAGATTTTAATACCATAATAAAATAAAACAGCTTGGTAGAACAGATGGTTTCCTGACAAACAGAACTTTAGGAAGAGGGTGGAGATTTCTATTTCCATTTCTAATATGTGATCAAACAGATAAGCAAGATTTAAAGAAAAGTTGATCCCTCTTGTCTGCTTGGGAAGGAATCAGGAAAATTTATGAAACCCTATAAAAGTCTACAGTGGGATATTGAGATCAATTTTATGTGTTAAGATCTATTTTTTTCTGTTTAGAACATACGTAGGACAAAATGGATAACAATTTTGAATTGCTTGATTTATTGGCACAGCTCTATCTTTAACTGCACTTCCAAATGTTTCATTTTCTCACTGTCTTATTTCTATGCATGTTAACATTTTGAAATGTATTTTGGTAGTTTTCTAATGCGTTGACACTACATGCTATCTTGGCTTGTGCCCATCAATTTTCTAAGAACAGATTTTCATTTTTAATTCATTTTTTTAATTGAACTTACAAAAAATACTCAGAATTTTTTATTTTAAAGCATATACTTTAGGCCACAGTTGAAATTAATACTTATTTTTCATATTCATATGCTTCCTACTCTATATAATTTTTCTCTTTTGCAGATATTGATGATGCTCAAATACTTCCCCGCTCAACTAGAGTCAGACATTTTTCACAAAGTGAAGACACTGGAAATGAAGTTTTTGGTGCTTTGAGTGAGGAGCAGCCATTGCCTCGAAGTAGCAGCACTTCTGACATCTTGGAACCATTCTCTGTTGAACGAGCCAAAGGTGCAGTTCCTGTCATTGACAGTTCATCCCGTCATGCACCAAGCTTGCAGAGTTCCACAGAGGCTTCTTCAATAACTAGATCCACTGAAAGCCACATCACTGATACTCATAGTAGAGAGTCTTCTCTGGAAGTTGGTGATAGCATATATGACCATCTTTGTCATTTAATAGGTCCAGTAGAACTTGCAGATTCAGCTTTTGAACAAATCCAGTACATTGACCTTGAAGGAGATGACGATCTTCTTTCCTCCCTGAAAGAATATTTTAAGGAAAACCAGGAAAATCATAGTAAAAATGAGATAGGTAAAGATGCAACTTCTCAGGAAGTGACTGTTGCCGTAAATAAGGGTGAAAGGTTATCCTTAGACAAATTAGAATACATAGATCAGGAAATTAAAACAGAAAATATCACTTCTTTTGTTGGGACTCCTGAAAACATACAGTTTCAAAAAGAACAAAACTCAGCTGTTTTCATGAGTAATATTGCACCTAATCAGTTAGACAGTTTTATTAGAACACAAACTTCTGAAAAATCTAAGCAAGTAAACAGTGATAAACAGTCATCATCAGAACCTAGTTCAGAAAGCCCTTGCGATAAAGAGAAAAGGAGATATCTACATAGACAGGCGGCCACAGAATTAGATGCTTGCATAGATGTAACACTAGTTGAAAAGCTTAAGGGTGTGCAAATTAATGAAAAAATCAGTGTTCCACATGTTATGCGTGCCAAGAAAATGACACTAAAAGCACCTGTTAACCGCAGAATGCCTCATGTTACAAATACTAGCAAACTTTCTCCAACTAAAAGGAGCTTGTCTGAAACAGTAACTCATAGAGCCAAAATCATGAAAATTGCTACTAAAAAGCGAAACAGTGTTCATGTTACTTTTAGACCATCCACTGAGTCAGTTCAGTTTTATAATCCTCTGGAAAACAAAGAGGCTCCATGGAAGATGAGACTTCGGAAACTCAGTGGCTTTAGTAGTAATAGTAGTAGTAGCAGCAGCAATAGCTGCACCAGCAACATGCATACCAGCTCAAATAGTGGCCCAGAGCTAGTAAAACCTGGTGTGTACAGGCCTCTAGATATGATCAGTACAGTATCAGTAAGTAGTAAAACAATGAAGGAATCCACAGAGATTCCCACCACTGTGTTACAAAAAGAAGGAATTTCTAGTAATCAGTTAGGTAGTCGTAGTACTCTTAGGTCATCAACTCATGAGCCAGGACTACAGCAGGGCTCCCTGGGTGGCGTTTATAAAACTGTTGTACATGCTCTTTCGAAGCCGAAGGCAAATGTTTCCCCACAGAGGCAGAACAGAATGCCACCAGAGGCTCCACTGAGGGATCTGTACAGTCATGTAATGGGCTATTTTGGAAGGAAAGCTGCAGGTGAGCACTAACAGTGTGCAGAGCGCAAAAGGAGAAAGACAGCGCCAGTTTGGCTTAATGCAACTGAAGCAAGCTATAAGCAATCAAAAAGCTTTGGGATGGTCACTGCTTTCTCTCTGTTTGGTTATGCATGCGCCTTTTTCCCAGCTGTATTTTTCCCAGCATAAAATGTTTGTTTAAATTACTAATTTCCCTTATAAGGCATTTAGTTAAACCTCTTTGCTGCTGAACAACAACATAGGAAAGAGTAAGCTAATAGGAAAATTTTAATGACCTTTCAAATCCTGCCTAGATCAAATGTTTTTCTGAGTGTGCCACATGAGTCTTGAAATTAAGTTGACTGAGGGGTTGTTAGGCTTTCTTCCCTGCCCCACTAAAGTTTATCTTTAAAAGGGCACCAGCTATTATCTAATTGAGGTCATTTATTTTTTACTACTGATTTATTTGGTTTTATATTTTTTCTTGATGGGAAGTTATTTTGATATCTAATGATAGAAATTAAATTCCTACAACCAGCACCAACATTATAGTTAACTATCATTGAAGAGGGGATTATTTCTTAAATCTCAAAGTGAATTATTTAAGCCATTTCCAAACATGCTGTAGCTTTTTAGTTTTGCATTCATTTGTGTAGAATGCAAGTTATGTCATCGAAACACTTATCATTCTTTTTTTTTTTTGAGATTTTTAGATGTGCATAAAGGTTTCATGATAGCCAATAATTTAGATATGGAACCTCTATGGACAGATTACAGAAAGAAAGCAAGATTGTGGTAACTGTTTTCTCTTGATTCAAAGTTAAGATAACTTTACAGATATAGAAAATTAACTTTCAGCAGTAAGGTAGGTTTTGATTTTATTTGTTTTAACATGATTTTGTTAGCATGATTAACAACGCTGTATAATGCATCTTGCATTGAGCCATTAATGCCACCTGAGGGCAGTATTTGACAGCTTAGCAAAGCCTGGCCAGTAATATAAAGATAATGGTATTTCACAATGAGCTTCTGACCAGTGTATTTTCTTAACCTCAAATGCTTCGTAGTTTATTAGTAATATAAACAGTGTTGATTTTATTTTCATCGCAGATAAATTATCTTTTCAGTACTATAATAATGACATATATAATTTATTTTCTATAAATTAGTTTCTCAAGTTAAAACTTTCTTGATAAGGTAAATAATGAAAATAAATGTAGTCATAAAGAAATAAAAATAACTATTTGGGTTTTTGTTACTAAAGAAAATCCTTTGTGCAAATAAACTTTTTTTTCCTTAAAGCATTACAATTAGATTTTATAATGACTAGAAACAACATGTTGTATAAAAATCATATAATTTTTACTTATAAATATTCAAACTTAAATGCATTTGTGTCCCACTGAGTTTTGCATTGAATCAAAGTATATATTCCCTGAAAATATTCTTTGGGGAAAAATGGAATTATAATATCAAGACTTTAAATAGAATCATAGAGGCAGGAAAAAAAGATAAATATACCAGTTTCTTTATAGGCAATATTAACCTAACTTCAACTAGTGCTTATCTATAAGCTTTCTTGCTATTTAAGGTTATACTGAAGATTGACTAACATCTGCTTACTTAAATAAAGTAAATACCAATTTACTAATTCTTAAAATTAAATCTAAAAGAAGAGAAATTATTTATAAATGCATGTTTGGCGAATAATTGATATGCCATAGGTAATTTATTTTGGGTTGTTTTTGTTTGTTTCAAATTTAGAAAATGCAGTTAAGTTTTTCCTCACTATATATAGTTATTTATTTATTTTTAGTCAATAAAGAGGACATGAGCCCAAAACTGCCTCCTCTTAATAGTGATATTGGCAGCAGCAGTGCTAATGTTCCTGATCTGATGGATGAGTTTATAGCAGAACGACTTCGCAGTGGCAATGCCTCAGTAAGTTTCACTTTATTAATTTGGTTTTATAGAGGCGGGGAGACAAACCAACAGATACATACCTGTGTACATATATTTGTGTACATATATAATGTATATATGGAAATTTTTATTAAAACAGCCTTTCCCAAAAATTTAACCTTTTTTTAAGATTTTTAAAATTATACTTTTGTAATATTTTTAAACCTAAAGACATAAAACAAGCAGGCTTGTACAGGGTGAAAGTCTGTGCAAGTACACAGATATAAGACACTGCCTTCCTAGTCCCCTCCTTTTTTTATCTTTGTTCGTAAGTTACTCTGGTGCCAGCTGTTAGCCCCCAATAGGAAGGATAAGCCCGCTCCCATAGTTTAGATAGGACAAATATTGCTTAATTATTTTAGATAACTTTGGAAGAGATTTAAAAGTTATCTTTTTCTTGACTGTTAGGATTATGGTAAAATGAAAATAGACCCTATTTTATCCCAAATAATGCTTAATTAGTAAGAAAATGGTCATATTCATTTGGTTTTCAGCTTCTCTAACTTCAGTTGTTTTTCTTGAGTAAGTAAAAACCATTATAGAACAACATCTTTGTCATCATACTTCCTTCTTTCCCACTGTCTTTTCTGTTTGCTTCTTTTTTTCCCCACTTAGATACTTTGCTTTTACTGTGGTTTTACTTTTCAGCTGTTTTAGCGTATATTCACTGCATGGATCCTATTGAGGCTTAAGAGTCTCAGGCCCAGCGCCATCTGATATTTGCTTTAGAAAGACCAATAGGTTAGGCTCCCCCCCATGCAATTTATACACAGATTGTTCAGTGAGTGTTTCCCTCCTCCTATTTCAGACTCTAAATCATAGCATTTATTGAGATGATTATCTTGGACATTAAAGGTTTCAGATGCTTAATGAGAGTGAAATATTCTTTTTCTTAATGGTAAAGTATTTTTTTGAATTTTTAGACTATGACAAGAAGAGGAAGTAGTCCAGGCAGCCTCGAAATTCCCAAAGATCTCCCTGATATTCTAAATAAGCAGAACCAGATGCGCCCTATTGATGATCCTGGTGTGCCCTCAGAATGGACTTCTCCTGCCAGTGCAGGGAGCAGTGATCTTATCAGCTCAGATAGTCATTCGGATTCTTTCAGCGCTTTCCAATATGATGGCCGAAAGTTTGACAGCAAGTATCTTTCTCTATTTGAATAGAGTGTTTTATGTTGATTGTCTTCTGTTTGAGACTGACTTATGGCTTATGTAGCCATTTCCTTCCTCTCTGATGTTACTTAGACAGTGATTCCCACATGTGCTAAAAATATGATTTTTTAGAGATGGGGTCTTGCTGTGTTGCCCAGTCTGGTTTTAAACTTCTGACCTCAAGCTGTCTTCCCACCTCAGCCTCCTGAGTGGCTATGATTACAGACATGAGCCATTGCTTCCATCCTCACTGATTTTAATTTTCAGTGAAATTGTAAAGGAAGTTTGAGGGAATTACCTCCAGTTGAGACCTCTTTATTTTGCCAAACTGAGAGCATTTAAAACCCCAAAACCAATGTTCTTTCATAAAATAAATGGCCTTCTTAAGACCAAAAAATGTAGAAAGGAAAATAACTTAGAATGGACCTGATATTATTACAATAAAGGACAGTCATAATTATGAGTTGGTGCTGTTTCTTGCACTCATGTTTGAGAACTAAATATTTGGATTATGTTCAGTGCTACAGTACCCAGAACTTCCTGATATAATTGTTTCATGTTAAAATAACATCATTGATGCCATACTGTTACTATTTTGTAGTAATTCTGTATTGCACCTGAAAGTCAGTGAAGGACACCCAAATTTTTAAAAAGAAAGGAACCTTAGGAACTAAGCTTGTGAAGAACTGGGCAATGCAGTGGAGAATTACATGTTTCTTCTCCTCATGGCTTATACACTACTCTGATCTAATTGTAATCTTCAAAGTGTCAATATTATCTACACTTGCCTGAGTGGTATGTAAATAGAATAGATTTGTGGGAAGTGTTACTGTTTGGTCATTTTGATGACTTAGCTGTGTCTCTTTTATAAATATTTGTGTTTTGTAACTGGGACTCATATACTAACATTTCTTTTTCCCATAGATTTTGGCTTTGGAGCTGATACTGGGGTTGTATCCTCTGCTGATATGGATTCAAGTTCTGGCCATCATCAGAATGCTGAAGAGCAGGAAGTGGCTAGTCTAACTACTCTTCATATAGATTCTGAAACAAGCAGTCTTAATCAACAAGCCTTCTCTGCTGAAGTTGCAACAATTACTGGTAAAGTTATTCAAGAGAATGTATTTCTTAAATGTATCTTTAAACCTCCAAAGAATCTGATTAGAATTTTATTTAAGAGGTTTTAACTGTTACTTATTATTAAGTATTTTTTTCACTTATCTTTATTTAACGGTACATTAAAATTATTTCTTGTCCTGGAGTCCACTTGGGTAAGTTTCAGGGGACTCTTTGAGCTCTTAATATTGTAGGATTATGTGCCGTGCATATGTGTGCACATGCGTGCGCACGCGTGCGTGTGTGTGTGTGTTTGCACTAGAGCATTTTCTGCAGTGGTTTTTAAATAGATGACTAAAAAAAGCTTAAAAGTGTACTGCACTATATATTTTTCATTGTAATTCAGAGTTAGCCTAGATTTTTTGTAGATTTCTTTGACAAATTATTTATTATAGAAAATATAAAGCACACAATACCTAATGGAAGGCCTGTTTGTCAATATACTAATATTCTCTGTTTATATAGTAATTTATGCTTTTCAGAAACTTTTTACATGTGGTCAAACCCAATCATAATGTGACGGGGGGAGGGTCTTAAGAAATTCAATCATGTTAAATGCAGTGTCACATTATTGCAGGGTTGATGCAGTAATCATAGTGAGCCTGAGCAGCTAGTGTCTTATATTTCTGGATTTCCACTCTGTGATCCAGACTCACTCTAATTTCAGCTGCAGCTTGCCCTTTAATGAGTGGTTATCCAGTACAACTCAAGTATCAGTGGGGTGATTTTTGTATCCTCTTGTTGGCTAGAACTTGCAAGACTGGAGCAGTGATTTCTGCATATCTAGAGTTATTCAAGCACATTTCCTCAGCCAGTCCAGACAGAGGAAATCGGGCCAAGACAGTACTAGGTAGGCAGGAATCCATCCTGTTTTTACATCCTGCCTCCTCTTTTCCCAGATGATAAGAACTTTAGTCTGCTCCCATTCAGAATGGGGCCTGAGTAAAGGATAGGAGCCAGTGGGGTTAGATCCACAGTCCCATAATCAAAAAGAAATAGGAGAGAAAATTTTTATTTTATAATTAACACCTTTTATTGTAGTTGGTCTTAAAAATAAATGTAAATGAAAAGATACTCAACGTTAATAATAATCAGGGAATGCAAATAAAAACACAATGAGATCCTACTCCATACATACTAAAACAACTTCAGTTAAAAACACTGACAATCAGCCGGGCTCGGTGGCTCAGCCTGAAATCCCGCGCCTTTGGGAGGCTGAGGTGAGTGGATTGCCCAAGCCCGCAGGTTCGAGACCCACCTGGGCAACTTGGTGAGACCTCATCTCTACAATAAATCAAAAATCTGCCGGGTGTGGTATCGCACGCCTGTAGTTCCAGCTCCTTGGAAGGCTGAGGCGGAAGGATCGCCAGAGCCCAGTAGGCAGAGGCTGCGGTGGCCGGGAGCGGCCACTGCATTCCAGTCTGGGCGCCAGAGTGAGACTCCAACTCAAAAAAAAAAAAAAGAGAAAACACTGACAATCCAAAGTGCGAAATGGGTGTGGAGCAACTAGAAATTTCATACATTGCTAGTGGGAATGAAAAATGGAAGAGCCACTCTGGAAAAATATGGCAGTATCTTTAAAGGGAAACATTCATTTATTATGTGACCATATTTAGGTATTTTCCTTGGACAGTTGTATGCAAAAGTTTATGTCAGTTTTATTCATAATAGCTAAAAATTAGATGTCCACCAACTGGTGAGTGGATAAACAAACTGTAGTATATTCATTCATTGAATATTCATTGAAATAATACTCAGCAATAAAAGAGTAAAATAGTAATGTATGTAAAAACGTGGACGAGTTTCCAAAACATGCAAAATAAAAGAAGTCAAATACAAAAGACTACATCATAGTGCTTTATTATCCCGTGTGTATGAAATTATAGAAAAGGTAAAACTAGTGACAGAGCAGATCAGTGCTTTCTTGGGGATAGGTGTCAGGTAAGAGGATCAACTAAAGATGGGCAAAAGAAAGCTTTTTATGTTGATAGAACTGTTGTTGTTAGTTAAGAAGTTAAAATTTTCTTCATTTTCTATAGTCACCAAAAATAAAGTTCCAAACAAAAACTCTAAAAAAAAACTTGATATGTATGGATAACTTGTTTTAAGCTTTTTGCCTTTAAATGACTTTTGGATAATTCAGCTTCTAAGAACATTTAGTATTTATGTGACCTATCTTTATTCTATCTAGTGAATATTTCTACAAGTCTGCTGGAAAGTTTTATTAGGTATTCTAATCTTGCCATTAGTATTAGTGCAGGGGCTTTGTTTAAGAAACTAAAGCAAGTTGTATTAATTTCTGTTCAAAAGACATAAAATTCAGCAGAGTACAACTCTGTATTCTAGTATACCAACTATTCAATACAGTGTTTTCTGAAGGTGAAGTTTGTATGTTATCATGCTACTAACTCAGTTATATTTTGTCAAAGGCATGTTAGTCGTCCTGAAATCTCCTGTGTTCTTACAATATAAAAATTTTCAGAAACTACAGAAAATTTAATATAAGGAGATAAGGTCATGAATAGTTTTATAAGAATAGTTTTTTTGCTTAAAAAAAAACTTTTTATAGGAAAAAGCCTGTAAGTCAGCTGTTTTAGATTTTTGTTAATAAAATTAAAGACACTAATGATTCCCTGATAGCTAATTAATGCTAATATAAAATTATTTAAAATCTTAGTCCTTAAAAATGAATCTGGGTCAAGATAATACATGGAGATAAGAGAAATGGATTTATATATCAAAGTTGATGTCTCTTTGGCATGTACTTAATAGTTTTTGATAAATATTAAGGCTATTATTCTCCACCAACGACCATAGAACATACATTCTACTCATCCTCACATGGAACATACTCTAAGATAGACCACATCCTTGGCCATAAATCAAGCATAAACAATTTCATAAAATTGAAATTTTGCCATGCACCGTCTCACAGTGGAATAAAAATAAATATCAACACCAACAAAGTTCCCCCCAAAACCCATAAAGACATGGACACTAAACAACATGATGCTAAGCAACTCCTGAGTCAACACTCCTGAGTCAACATGGAAATCAAACAGAGATTAAAAGATACCTGGAAATAAATGAAAATAAAGAAACATCTTACCAAAATCTCTGGAATGCCATGAAAGCAGTAGTAAGAGGGGAATTCATATCTCTACAAAAGGCTGTTGTTTTTATTATGCCATCTGTAGTGTGTGTGTGTACTAAAGTATAGAATCCTTAAGTTTCTATAGCTGTCCTTTAACATGTGATTTTGTACTATATGGATTTACCCAAAATCTCAAATAAGGAAAGGAAGTTTCCAACTATGTATAATAATTGAACCTAGATAAAGTCATATGATTATTCATATGATTATGGTGATCATATATGATATTCATATGGTTTTGATATGACTATAATTATTGTGATATCATGATATAGTACAGTTCTACATGTACTTTTTTAGTAGTTACTGTGTTGTTTTTGAAAATTGAATATGTAATATATGAATTCAGTTTGATGAATTAAAATAATACAAATACAGATGATCCTTGACTTACTATAGTTCAACTTAAGATTTTTCAGATTTACTATGGTGTGAAAGCAATATGCATTCAATAAAAACTGTACTTTGAGTACCCATACAACCATATTTCTGTTTACTCTCAGTACAGTATTCAGTAAATTACCTGAGATATATATAACACTACAGTGTAAAACAGGCTTTATACTAAATGATTGTGTCTAACTGTAAGCTAATGTAAATGTTTTGAGTACATTTAAGTTAGGCTAAGCTAAACTATAATGTATGGTTAGTTAGATGTATTAAATGCATTTTTTTGTTTGTTTTTTTGGAGTCGGAGTCTCACTCTGTCACCCAGGCTATAGTGCAGTGAGTGACACAATCACAGCTGCCACAGCCTCAACCTGCAGGGTTCTGGTGATCTTTCCAACTCAGTTTTACAAGTAGCTAGGACTACAAGCATGCACTATACCTGGTTAATTTTTTGCGTTTATTATAGAGATGAGGACTCACAACATTGCCCAGGCTAGTCTTGAATTCCTGAATGCAGACAATCCTTTCTCCTTGTCCTCCCAAAGTGCTGTGATTGTAGACTTGAGCCACCATGCCTGGCCTAAATGCATTTTTGCGTTATCATTTTTTTTTTCTTTCTTGAGTCAGAGTCTTACTCTCTCCCAGGCTGGAGTGCAGTGGCACACTCATGGCCACCACAGCTCGACCTGCTGGGCTTAGGCGATCTTCCCAAGTAGCTGGAACCCCAGATGTACGCCACCATGCCAGGCTAATTTTTTTATTTATTGTAGAGACGAGGTCTTGCCAAGTTGCCCAGGCTGGTCTTGAACCCCTGGGGTCAGGCATTCCTCTCACCTTGACCTCCCAAAGTGCTGCGATTGTAGGCTTGAACCACTGCACCCGGCCAAGTTACCATATTTTTTAACTTACAGTAGGTCTCTCAGGATATAACCTGTAAGTTGAGGATCATTTGCATGTATTTAATTTATGTTGGTTGTTTACTGTATAGAAAGAGGTAATAGGGGCAGGGTTTTACAATTATTGAGTTCAGATAATTGATATTTTTCTGCTACAAGATGGATTAAAATAAAAAGATCTAATGTCTTAACTATTTGCATGGTACTACAAGTCATGTACAACTACACCCACCACTAGTTGTTCTTTACAGCATTAATTTATGCTGTACACCATTTAACAAAAGAACCCACTATGTGCCAGATACTGTACTAGGCACTAGCAATACTATGGTATAAAATAGATATAATTCCTATTTTTACAGTGTTTATATTTTACTGAGGAATATTTAAAATTTAACAGTCAGTCTCAAGTCAGGGTGACAAATGCTCTAATATAGAGGTTCAAGGTTCAGCCAGAGTATATGGCAGAGACTCAGTAATCATACTTGGCAGGATTGGGAGAAGGCTTCTCAGGAAGCGGTGTATAAACTGAGGCCTGAAAAACAAAAGTTAACCAGGGCTAAAAGAAGATGATTAGGACTTCATGCAAAGGAAAAAATGAGGGAAAAGCCCAAGGTATGATGCATTCTAATACATTTAAGTAGTTTACTTTCTATGACTACAGCACAAAAGTTCTAAGTGTATTTTGGAGAGATAAGAACGTTGCAGAGACTTGAAAACCATATTAAGAAATTTGGGCTTATGCTGAGGACAGTAAGGAGTCATTGAAGGATTATAAATTAGGGAATGACAGAATTAAATTAGATTTTTAGATCTGAGTGGATTGGGAGGGGGCAGTTCAGTTGTAGGAGAGAGTGAAAGACTGGCATGACTAGCAATGATAGTCACATATAGAACAGCAGTGAGCAAGTGCCTCCACTCTTAAGTTGTCTCAAGTCTGAAGTAAGTGAACTAGAGTGACAGTGCATACCGGAGTTTCTATAACTGGGCCAGTAATAGAAGTAGATATTCTCGTTCTTAACTGATGGCTCCTGTTACCCAGTACATTCAGTTTTGATTTTATACTAGTCCCATAGGTAGACATGAGATTAGACTCCCAGATACAAAAACTTATGCGTATTGCAATTTGATTGACCTCTTTGGCTAATTTATAACTGGTTTTTTCTTTCATTGTTTAAAATTTATCAGAATTTTAAGTATTACATCTTCAGTGTAGGGTATTGTGTATACCCTTTATGGTAACTTTATGAAATTACATTTACAGGTTCAGAAAGTGCCTCCCCAGTCCATTCACCTCTGGGATCCAGGTCACAGACACCTTCCCCTTCCACACTGAATATAGATCACATGGAACAAAAGGATCTGCAGCTTGATGAGAAGCTCCACCACTCTGTTCTTCAGACGCCAGATGATCTAGGCAATATTTGGAAATGAGATATTTGCCTTTTTTTTTCTTTTAGGACATTAGTGTCAGGAGATCACAAATAAGGCATCTTAAACTTGATTATGTATGATTATTATAAATCTTTTGAGCTTTTCTAAGGTTTTTTGAAATTTGTTAATATAACATTTTTTTCCTGTTCTTAAAGATATTTATAGTCTGATTTTTGTTCATTTTATTATAATTCGTTACAGTCCTAGAATTAGTGATTGCATTATTTTTGAGTGTTGTATTATCGTTAATTGGCATAATACTGTTTCCTAAAACAGGAAATACATAGTATTTGACATTATTTTTAATCTTATATCTGAAGAACCTGACTCACAGGAGATAATAGTAGTAGTATCACTTGTTAATCAGGCTTTCAGTGAGACAGTTTATCAAATCAATAATTTTTTTTATTGATTTCGATTCTGCAAATATATCAACTAAATGTAATTTAGAAGTAGATGGTCCAAATGAACTATTTTTAAGTAAAGATTAAAAAGTGACTTGGTGGTCAGACACAGTAGCTCAACTTGTATCCTAGCACTTTGGGAAGTCAAGGAGGGGGAATTGCTTGAACTCAGAAGTTCGAGATCAGCTTGGGCAACATAGCAAGACTTCATCTCTACAAAAAATTTTTTAAATAGCCAGTTGTGGTAGTGTGTGTCTGTAGTCTCAGCCACTCAGGAGACTGAGGCAGGAGGCTCACTTGACACCAAGAGTTCAAGGCTGCAGTGAGTGGTGATTGTGCCAGCCTGGGAGACACAGCAAGACCCATCTCTTAAAAAAAAAAAAAAAAAAAAAAAAAAAAAAAAGGGCCATTGTCTTGCTATGGTCTGGTCATGTTTCTTTTGCACTATGGCCAGGCCACATTTTCCTAAGCTTTGGCCCTCTCTCCTACCTTGGAGAGGTAAATCTCAATATCTATCTCTCTCTCTCTCTGACTTACTTTCTAAATAAACTATATTTTCCAGTCTCAAAACAAAATAAAAGTGACTTGAGAAACCTTATTTTGCTAAATCCTACTTGATGTGACACGCATTGGGAGATATTTTACAAATAAGCCAAAAACTTTGGCCTGAGACATTAGTTGATGAGATACTTACAGTGAATAAAGAACCAGTTTTCTCTCTGACCAAAGGAAGAGATTTAAAGCCACATGACTTCTGGACTTTTTTTTTGAGTCAGGGTCTCACTCTCACCCGGGTTGAAGTACAGCCTCGACCCCCTGGGCTCTGGTGATCCTTCCACAAATCAGCATTCCAAATAGCTGGAACTACAGGCACATGCTACTGTGCCCCGCTAATTTTTTTATTTTTATTTTTTTGTAGAGACTAGGTTTCACTATGTTTCTTAAGCTGGTTTTGACCTTCTGGGCTTAAGCAGACCCCTCACCTCCGCTCCCCAAAGTGCTGGGATTACAGGCATGAGCCTGTGTAGTGGACTTTCTTTAAGGGGTTCATTCCTTGATAAACAGTTACCTTGCAATTGCATAACCCTAATTTTCTAGTTTGTGGATTATTTCTGACCTTTTCTTCCTTTTGGCATGCAATTGTTTGTTTACAATTCTTTCTTCAACATTTAGGAAATAATTTCAAACTTTACTGAAAAGTTGCAAGACCAGTAAAATGAGCATCCATAAATCTTCACACAAATTAACCAATTGTGAATATGTTGCCACTTTGTATCGACATACATACATAAAAAATCTTGCCCCCCCTTTTGCCGAGCCATGTAAGAGAGAATTGCAAATGTCAGATTTTTCAAACCTAAATGCTTCCATAGGTATGACCTCAGAAAAAAATGTATGTTTCCTACATAACCACAATATAATGACTGCATTCAGGATATTTAGCATAGATACGTTACTGTTATTTTAATCTATAGTTAGATGTTCTTAAATGTCTCAATATTATCCTCTGTAGCTACCCCACACCATCAGCAACCCAATGTAGAATTTAATCAAGGACCACACATTGTTGCTTGCTTTTCAGTCTTTTAAAAATTTTTTTAGCTTTACTTTGAAAAGTATAAGTTAGATACATCACTTGACTTAAATCTGTAGACTGCTCTAAAGTAGGGAGGTATTAACAACAATGGTTAAAACTTCAGTGTTTTGTTGGGGGCTTTTTGTTTGTTTGATTTAATGACCTCACACAGAAGCCTACTTTTTTTATTATGGAGAAAGACTAATTATTTAGTACCAGTTTGATAGTACAATCAGTTAAAGAGAAATGAAATATTAGGAGTAAAGGATGTACATATACTAGCAATGAGTTTATAAATTCTCAATAAATTGGAGTTTTATGATTTTTCATGCTTGATAATATAAACTCCACGATTCTTTCAGTCTACAGAACTTTTTATTTCTAGTGTTCTTTAGATACACGAGCATTTTTATTGACTTTTTAATGATTTTCTATGACCTTTTCCACTATACAGAATAATGTAGAATAATGGGAGTTTTTTTTGAAGATGGAAGACTCTTTTACAGATGAGGAAATGTAGCCTTAGCAAGGTTATTAAGTTACTTGTACAACATATGATTAGTGACAGAAGTGAGACTAAAACCAGGGTACCTGTATTTCTTACTTATAATCTTGCCAATGTAAATAGGAAGAAGAAATGTAATTATGGTAATTTTTATTATTTTAAACTTTTAATACAATTTTTCCCCATACCATTGTGATACCTCTTTTAATACTAGGTTAATTGTGAATATAAAATATATATTTCTTTGTAAGATTTAGCTACAAAGAAAGAGGCTTATGAAGACTTTCTACAGGATCTACTTTCAGCCTTAGGTTTTGTCTTAATTTGATGCTATAACCTGAGGTAGCTATTACATATTATAAGTGAGAATATGTGCTTATTAATATAATATTTATATCAAACATAGATTTATCTATCTGCAGATGCACAGTGAATAGTAGTTGCATTATTTCTTCCTAGATAGAAGCACTATTGAAAACATAATTATTGCCATAATAAGGAATTATAAACCAGTGAGGTTTTGACCTTATCAGGAAAAAGTAACATTAATGGACATTGACATTTCTTTTATTCACTTTTGTAGATATTTAAGATTAATTTAACTTGGCTCTTTTGAGTTTTTGTGGTCCATTACTGACACTATTACTAACAGCACTGTATCTTTTTTCCATAGAAATCAGTGAATTTCCATCTGAATGTTGTAGTGTGATGGCAGGGGGTACTCTTACTGGATGGCATGCTGATGTTGCTACTGTAATGTGGCGAAGAATGCTAGGCATTTTGGGTGATGTCAATGCAATTATGGATCCTGAAATACATGCTCAAGTCTTTGATTACCTCTGTGAACTGTGGCAGAATCTAGCTAAGGTAAAAATAAATAAAGGATATAAGGGGAGAAAAATAAAAATAAGGTGTTAAGACATACAAGAGGACTTAGACAACATTGTTATCCCCCTCCTACTATAGTAAACCCAGCATGGTGAAGTCACTTAACAGTAGTCAGATATTTGGTTAGTGGTAAAACTGTATTTGAACTTTAGTTTAAGTAAAGCAAACAGGAAGAGAGAATAGTTTTCATAGGGTTTTCTTTTTTCCTTTTATTTGAAAATTACAGATTAGAGATAACCTTGGCATTTCAACTGATAATCTGACTTCCCCTTCTCCACCTGTTTTAATTCCTCCACTGAGAATTCTTACACCATGGCTTTTTAAGGTAAGCTTAATATATGAAATGTAGTTTAAGATTTTCATTTAGTTGCTCTTAAACAATTGGCAGAAATCTGAGCTATTATACAGTCTTCTAGAGCAGCAGTCCCCAATCTTTTTGGCATCAGGGAGGTAGTTTCGGGATGATTCAAGTACATTACATTTCAAGTATATTACATTAATTATGCACTTTATTTCTGTTATTATTATTATTACATATCACCACCTCAGCTCCACCTTATATAATCAGGCATTGGATTCTCATAAGGAGCACACGTCCTAGATGTGCAAGTGACAGCAGGGTTTGCACTCCTATGAGAATCTAATGCCACCACCGATCTGACAGAAGGCGAGCTCAGGCAGTAATGCAAGTGATAGGGAGCAGCTGTAAATAGAGATTAAAACTTTGCTCACTCTCCTGCCACTCATCTCCTGCTACTCATCTCTTGCTGTGCAATATGGTAGGGTTTGAGGACCCCTGTTCTAGAGGTCTTAATTTTTAACTAGTTTCCTTAGGAAGTCATTAGGCATTCTATAGGGAGGAGAGTGAGCTTGGAAAAATTATATAGGACATATCACTTTTGTTTATTTAATAAAACAATTGAGTATAGAAAGGTATATCTTTATTGTATTTAAATGAAATATAAACGTTGAGTTGTGTCAAGTAATATACTCTACATTAAAGGATTTAATTTTTTAAAATATTATTTGATATGTTTGATGCATTTTCCTGCTTGAAGCAGTTTATGGTTTGTAATCCCTTCATTGTATCACTTTGGATTAACAATAGTTCCAGTAATCCTGATTTTTAGTTCATTAAAGGAATTGGGCCAACAGAAATAAAAGAACAAATATATTGCTTGCTGTATTCAGTTGTTTAAGTATTTAACAAAGAGTATTTCTTTTTAAGTATTAAAACTCACCTTTTAATTTTAGGCAACCATGTTGACTGATAAGTATAAACAAGGTAAATTACATGCTTATAAACTTATTTGTAATACAATGAAAAGAAGACAAGATGTGTCTCCAAATAGAGATTTTCTAACACATTTCTACAATATAATGCATTGTGGATTACTTCACATTGACCAGGTAATTATATATACCTTCTAAGAAGCTATTTTAATATTTATTTGTGATTATTGAGTCTGTTTAAATCTTGACTTTTAAGGTCTAGAATTAAAATATCTGTCTTATGTAGTGGTTCATATACAGTTTGAAAAATAAACTATGACTGTAGTTAGGAGATTGAGTATTCCTCCAACTTGAAAGTTATACCATCCAGTTCATTTTTTGAAGCAGTAAACCATCCTTTGCTTAGGTTGACATCTTTATGTAATATCTCAGTATACCCATTCTTGGACATTTTGTGATTGGTACTTGCTAAATTAATATTTGAGGCATATGAATTTGCTCATCTAGTCATGCAATAGGCAGGTTTTTTCCACTTTAAGAAACAATACATCATGTTTTCTTTTTATCAGCAGTTATATTGACATAGTAGCAATTACATTAATTTGGCAGTTGTATCAGTTACAATACACATATGACCCTAAAATTTTATTACAAGGATCTTGATCTTGGCCATAAAACTAAAAAGTTTGCAAGTAATATAAACATTTTATCCCAATATGGGTAATTTTGGCTTACAGGTCATTTAGAGACCATTAAATTAATATTGAGAGATGATAATTATATCTCTCTTTCTGAAGAATGAAATAACTTCTTGCATTAATTTAAACTATTATTGCAAATAAAACGACACTCTTAATTATTAGAAAAATTAGAGAGCTTTTGTTTAAGATAAATTGGAGTAATACAACTTAATACAGTGCGTGCTTATGGTAAATTTCAGAGAGAAAGTGAAGGAATAACCAGGTTAAGAATATTTCCTTAAAAGGACCTAGCTCTAGATCTCTCAGGCCAAATAGCTATCATTATAGGACTTCAATTTATCTAAAAAAGAAAATCTTTCCAGTTGCCACATAGCAGGTCATGTGGGTTCAGAAGTGAGAATTACTACATGGAAGCAACTAGATGGTGACAGGAGAAACTACTCTGCAATTTAGTTTTGCCTTGTGTGGACCTTATATTGTTAACTCTCTGAAGCAAAGAGCCTTTCTTATTCTCGTGTGAAAAAAATATTTCATGTGTGTCAGTTAAATGAATGTGTGTTTATATTTACTTTCCTTTGATATAATGTAATATTAAACCTGGATTATTTGGAAGAATTAAAATTAGTCAACCAGTGTATAGTAATTACCTTTTTCAGTATTTCATGTATTATTTATTTTTAATGGTAGTAATTTGCTGATACCCAAGATCACATATGTGATATTCTTTTCCCTTCTTTTCTTACTCTAAGGATATTGTCAATACAATCATCAAACACTGCTCACCTCAGTTTTTTTCACTTGGTTTGCCTGGTGCCACAATGCTTATTATGGATTTTATTGTAGCAGCTGGTAGAGTTGCTTCGTCAGCTTTTCTTAACGTAAGTTGTTTCCTGTTTTTCCCATTATAACAGACTTCAGTTAGCCAGGACTCAACAAAGTTAGATGATAAAGCATAAACTAATGTTTAGGAAAATGTGCAGTTTAATTGGAATTGATTGCTTGTCCTACATTTGGAAAAAAACACAAATTCTGAAGTGTAAAAGGCACTAAAGTTATGTAGCACTAAAAGCAGTAAAATCTGATAAGCAAAACAGAGCTTAAAGTTAAGGAAGTCTAATGAAACAGGGAAGGAAGAAACCAAAGAAATGGCAAAAGAGAAGTAAGAAACTGGTGATATATGTGTATCAAAGCATCATATTGTACACCTTGAATAGATTCAGTCTTTAACAATTCAGATTTGTTTTGTTTTGTTTAATTCATATTCTCCCTCTGTCACGTAGACTGGAGTACAGTGGCATGACCATGGCTCACTGCAGCCTCCAAATCCTGAGCTGAGAGGATCTACCCTCCTCGGCCTCCCAAGTAACTGGGACCACAGGCGCATACCACCACACTCAGCTAATTTTTTTATTTTTTGTAGAGACAGAGTCTCACTATGTTTCCCAAGCTGGTCTTAAACTCCTGGCCTCAAACAGTTTTCCTACCTTGGCCTTCCAAAGTGCTGGAATTACAAATGTGAGTCACAATGCACAGCCAATTAAGAGGTTTTTTTGTTTGTTTTTGAGTAAGTCTCACTCTGCCCAGGCTGGAGTACAGTGGCAATGCTCATGGCCACTGCACCTCCACCTGCTGGGCTCAGGGGATCCTTCCATCTCAGCCTTTCAAGTAACTGGAACCACAGGCATGATTTTTTGATTTATTGTAGAGACAAGGTCTTGCCAACTTGTCCAGGCTGGTATCGAACCCCTGGGCTCAGGCAATCCTCTTGCCTCCGCCTCCCAAAGTGCTGGGATTATAGGCATGAGCTACTACACCTAGCTCACTTAAGTATTTTTAAATAATAAGTAAATAAACAAGCAATTGTGAGTTAGTTAACCTGGGAGGACATTATATGTTCTCACTTATAAGCGGTCCCTAACCACCTCTCATAATACTACAAAATGGGATTGGCAGTTGCTGGAGGGACGGGGACATAAAATCAGTAGGAGTGCCTGATCCCACTAATCCAGGTGAAGTGAGGTCCAATGGGAGGCCTAAAACTTCACCTGTACCTAAACCACTTGTGTACCCAATCCTGACTTGCACCCTACAACTTTAAAATAAAACAAAACAAAAAATTTATAAAAGCAAGGTCAAATTTCCCACTAGTTTTATATTGTTATTTTCTAAACCTTAAATTAAAAATAGTAAAATTTTAAAAAGGAGTAAACTAAACTCTCAAATTGCATGTGAAGATTTTTCATACAGTCGTGGAACTGTGAGACAATACTATGCAAATCGGTATAGTTGGAATATGTTCATATTTAAGTGGCAGAGGTGAGTTAGAGAGGAAGGCAGTAGCTGTGTTCACATTGCTAAAAAGGCTAGATAAAAACCTACGAGAGGAATAAGTAACTATTGAAGGATTTGAAGCAAGGAATGGCGTGATCAAATTTATATTTTGGAAAGATGATTCTGGAGCAAAGTATAAATGAGAAATAACAATTGCAAGTCTACTGGAAAAAATGTAAGGATACTTGGGAGAGAATAATACTTGTGTAGCACTTTATAACTTGAAATGCAGTTTAACATAAGTTATTTCATTTTTGAGCTACAACGGTAAAACATCAACAGTGAAATAAAAAGACTTCTATTTGGAACCTAGTTAGATGCATATTAGATATCCATGAATAGATGTCAGGAGAATAATTGCATATGCAAGTGAAGAGCTCAAGGGAGCTGTCAGGACTGAAAATATAAATCTCATAGACATAGATACAATTACCTAGAGAAAAAGTACAAATAAAAAAAAAAGAAGCAATATTTATACCCTGTTTCTCCAGTTATCTGAGAATGGTAATCATGTTTTATTCATCTTAGTGTCTTCAAGGCCTAGCACTGCGCCATGTTCAGTCAGTGCTTATTGACTGAATATATGTGTATTCAATAGCCAATATGTACTCAGCATTGTGCTGAGCTCTCTTGTGGTTATCAGACTTGTTTTCTCGTGTACAAGGTGTTCCTTTGGGAGGAATACAGAGGCATATAGAATAAGCTAGATAAGTTTTGCGCTCAAGGAGCATGTAGTACATTCCTGGGGAGGTAGAGTGTATTAACACCTGTAGATTGTAGAGCATCAAGTAGGTACCAGTAGGAGAAGCGTGGCATAATGGTTAAAAGCATGGCATCTAGAGTCTATTCTGCCTAGGTTCAGATCCCAGCTCTACCTCTTAGCTGTGTGACCTTGGGCAAATTACTTAATTTCTCTGTGTGTCAGTTTCTTTATCTCTAAAATAGAGATAACTTGCCTCATAGTATTATTTTATAAGGATTTGTTACATAGTTGAAATATTATACAACATGTTGTATGTGCAATATTAAGGTCTGTGAAATAAAATTATTTGGTAATTCAGAGAAAGGAAAGATATTGTTTGTTTAGGGATATCCTGAAGGTTTCATGCAAACTATTTATAAATAGGTCCCTGAAGATTAATGTGTTTATATAAGTGAAAATGGAGGTGAAGGAAGGTATTCCAGGCAGAAGTAAGCAGGCATAAGTAAAATGTGTTCAAAGAATGACTATTAATCTATTTTGTTTAGAAGATAGTCTGCCAAGTGTGTAGCAGAAAGAAATAACACAAAGGTACTTAATTTTTTTCAAAAAATTTTTATTGAGGTAAAATACACATATATAATTTATCATCTTTATCATTTTTAAATGTATAAATTGAATACATTTATACATTCATATTATTTTTTTCTCCTCCTTTTCCCCACTCCCTTCCCTTTTGGCCTCTGGTAACCATGAATCTAACTCTCCATCTTTATGAGATCCACTTTTTTAACTCCTGCCTATAAGTGAGAACATGTGATATTTGTCTTTCTTTGGTTGTTTTACTTAACATAGTGACCTCCAATTCTATCCATGTTGCTGCAAATGAAAGAATTTAATTTTTTTTAATAGCTAAATAATATTCCATTGTGTATATATGTATATCACATTTTCTTTATCCATTTGTCTGTTGATGGGCACTTAGGTAGATTCTATATTTGGCTATTGTGAATAGTGCTTCAGTAAACATGAGAGTGCAGATATCTCTTTGATATGTTGATTTCCTTTCTTTTGAATGTATTCCCAGTAGTGGAATTGCTGGAATGGAAGTTCTATTTTTAGTTTTGGAGGAAGCTCGTACTCCTCTCTATAGTGGCTATACTAATTTACATTCTCACCAACAGTGTGTGAGGGCTCCTCTCGGGAAGGTACTTTAGATTCTTGCAACCCAGGGTATAATCTGCACATCAGAAACATTTGGCATGATCGGGGTGCTTATTAGAAATGCAGAATCTGTGGTAACCTGGTAGCCTAATGGATAAGGCATAAGCCTACAGAAAAATCCCAAATCTCAGACCCCATCCCAGACCTACTTACTGAATCAGAATCTGCATTTTAACTAGATCACCAATGCCTGGAAAAATCATTAGTTAAAGAATAAGAAGCACTGCTTTATACTACATCTTACAAGGTCTTAAATGCCAGGGATGAAGTTATAATACTATATTAGATAAACAGTTAAATTTTTTTAAGTGGGGAGAGAGATGATTGAATCTATCCTTTGAAAATTTTAAGTAAGTATTAATCTAGGAGTAGATTAATGGAAGATAAGCTAGAGATGATAAACAAGTTACAAGGTTATTATAGTATAATCAGTGTACATAGATTTTCCATATCTTGTATACTATCAAAAAATAAAATTTAGAAGATACTAATATGTAAACCAATGTCATTTTTTATTTACAGTGAAAACTACTACTGTTCATTGGGTTATTCCAACTGGTTAGTTAGCACATTTCTGCAGCTTTTCTCAAGGTTCTGTAAGAGAATTAAGCCCTGATATCCTGAGACATCTATTTTATGTGGCAAACTTTATGTGATACATCCATTTTAAATGACTAACTTCTATCTTTAGCATCTAATACTGTGCATTTGTAACTTCCTTGGGAAAATTTAGAAAACAGTCATTTTCTATGTTCTTGGTTCATGTGAGGAACACCAGTTGAAAAAGCCTGCATGGGAAACCAAATCATTGCAGGAATCAAGCCTGACACATCTCCACTATAAGAGTAAAGACAATGTTTTCTTCTGGACAGTTTAAATATTGCTCTTTATATTCTCATTTTAGATCCCATGCATATCATCTTCTGTTAATGTTGTTCCAATCCCCTCACACCCCCACAGACAGATTACAAAATAATTGATTCAGTTTTTTCTTTCATAATTACAGTCACATTCCAGGTCTGCCCCCATTATATCCACATGCCTGAACATTCCCAGTTACCTTATCCACCTTTGCAGAAAAACTCTTAGCTAATCTCTTTATAAATTGATTTTTTAATGTTTCATTTTTAGAAGATAGCTTTTATTTTAAATTAGAATGGTGGATGTGAGCTTACTCTGACCCTTTATGCTGCTACCTTCTATCTGTAAATCTAGATTGTTTTTAAATTTTGAAAAGTTTTTTTTGAAAATCATATAATAGTGTTCTACACCATTCTTCTTTTCAATATTTATTAAGATGGAGAAATCCTTTTGGAAATTGGTTCTTGATATATGGGAAGAGAAATATATTTTTAATAGATTTGTGCTTAGCATATTTGTTAGATTATTAAACATATAAATCAGTTTGCAGGTATCTTAGTAAATAAAGCAACATATTAGTAGGTGGATGTTGATGTTTGGTGGGCATGCAAGAAGGCAGAAGAGGAAAAAGAAAGATTCAGTGTTGATGCTTCAGGAATGGCTTAATACAGCTAAGGAAAAAAGATGAAAAGTTACCTTCATCTGCAGTTCAGAATAAATTCCAATGTTTTTAGTTAAGTGGTATGGGTAATGCTTTTCTTATGTGCCTGATATCATAAAAACCATTTAGACTGGTACCTGTGTTATTTGGTTAACATTTTCATCCCTATTTATTCAGCCTTAGGAAGTAATAAATATAATCTAGTGAAACTGAGTCAACACCTTGCTAGAACAATATGTCACGATGTGTGGGTTACCTTTAAAATTGAAGTATTTATATTTTTTCTTATTATTAGGGCAAATTGATTCTGATAGGTAAAAATATATTCCTTTTTACAGTGACATTAACTGTGGGTGATTTGAAGAAAGCTCTGATATTTGTTTATTGCGCTTACTAAGAGTAACAGTTGGCCAGGCACAGTGTCTCACACTTGTAATCCCAGTGCTTTGGAAGGCTGAGGTAGGAAGATCACTTGAGGCCAGAAGCTCAAGGCCAGCCTGGGCAACATAGTGAGACCCTGTCTCTACAAAAAGTTTTTAAAATTAGCCATACATGGTGGCGTGTGCCTATGTCCTTAGCTACTCGGGAGAATGAGGCAGGAGAAGCCCTTGAGCCCAAGAGTGTGAGGTTACAATGAGCTATAATTATGCCACAGCACTTCAGCCTAGGTGACAGAGTGAGATCCTAGCTCTGAAAAAAAGATAGAGAGAGAGATTAACAGTAGTTTATGTGGAAAGTATAGATGGAACCCTAAATCATTTTGTGTGTCCCTTTTCCTTTTTGAATTTTGTTTTATACATCACTTCCCTAGCTAACATAATAGTTGGGTAATAAAGTAATTGTTCTGATAATTTAGTACACAAATACATTTTAAAGCTTTTTGAAATCTGATACATAGGCACCAAGAGTAGAAGCACAAGTTCTTCTGGGATCTTTGGTTTGCTTTCCCAACTTATATTGTGAACTGCCTGCTCTCCATCCGAACATTCCTGATATTGCTGTGTCTCAGTTTACAGATGTTAAGGTAAGAAATCAGATGCTAATTTTTAACATTTAAATGACTTTATAACCATAAATGTATGCAGTAAAATTATATTCTTTATTTTCTTTTTGAAAACCACATAATTGTTGAAGAACACTCACTAACCAGCCATGTGCTCTAGACACAAAGGCTGGAATGTTCCTTAGGAACTATCCTTTTTTGTGTTTAAAACTGCTTTGGAACCTGCTTGTTGTTGGACCTACTCACATGTCTACTCTTAGGATTTGTTCATTCATTCTGAACATTTATTGAAATATCCTATGAGCTGTGTTGCTAATAATGTAAGGGTTTTAAGATTGAGATGGCAAACTACACCTGCATATTTGACTCCCTTCCTCTTCCAATATTTCAGTGTGATGTGTCAAACAAAGTAGTGGAAAATTCTCTACTGTTGTAGGAAATCATGGAGTAGAGGTAGAGATCTCATGTACTTGAAGCATTAGATGTGTTGGACAGTAGATGGTGAAAAATAAACAGTGACTTGTACAGCTGTTGATGGAATCTACCCCAGTTGCTAATCCTAAAAAAAAGATAATTATGTCCATTTAGGAACAGACATGCCAAATGACCCTTGTTATTTGTGAATCTTTTCAAAAGTTTCAAGTAGAAAAGTGGCCACAAGTTGTTTTGTGCTTCTGCAGAGGTCAGCCTCTGCTTGAAGGGGCACATGTGACATGACTGGCGGTCTTAATCCTCTGGACTCAGTTATTTCTTAGACCAAGGTAAGGGAAGTGGTGTGAAAAGCTGTCCTAGTGAGGATAAAGGAAAACAGTGCTCTGAACCCAGCAATGTGCCTGATAGTAAATAATTCCATCATTTTTAGACCTTGTCTTACTGAGACCTGTCATTACTTGAGTGCCTAAGTATTATAAGTAACCAAGGGTTTAGGAGTCCTGTGAAAATTGTACTTGTTGCAGTAATTGCCAGATAGTCTTTGTATTTGACCTGAATTGGTCCCTAGAATTAGAATAAGTGTTGAGAGAGAGATCCTTGTGTGGGCTATGCTGATGATTCTTTTTTTAACTTACTTTCTCTGAAGTTTTAAAATCCCGTTTGTTAGGAGTGTTGCATACACTCTATAGCATCTGTATTTCTCCTTGTAATGTTTATTATTATCAGTTATCTGATCAATATCTGACTTCTACTTCAGACAGATACATACCACAAGGTCTTATTTTTTGCTGTATCATCATAGCCTAACATACTGTTTGGCACATAATAGAAACTCAGAGACCATTTAAACAAATGAGCTTGACTTATACGTAAAATCATATGGTTCAATGCAAATTTGCAACGACACTTAATAAAAACTATACAAATTGACCTTTGTTCTTCAGAGACATAATAGTTTTGGTAAGATCTTGAAGACCAAGGATGAGTCTTAGTTGTACTTTACTTAGGCAGTTTTGAGTTAGTTAGGGGTTAGCCTACATACTATCTGTGTTCCAGAGTGGCCTTGTTCTTTATTGATGATTGTATAAGCAGTAATGGCTAAAGTGATTTAAAAACAACACTTTTTTGTATTTTAAAAAAACTCTCCAAAGTAAGAGCCAATTCTAATAATTATGAAGAAAGCAAAAAGTGATTTTTGTTCTTAGTCAGAAAAAGAAGGTTTAAGGGGAGAGTAACATGCCTTTGTAGACATATTTAATTTTCACTGAAACCAGATCCTGTGTGCCTTAAACTACAGCCACATAGAACTTACCATGCTTTTTCTTGGTTCTGTGCTTTTGAAAAACTATTTCCTTCTGCCTAAAGCAGGTATGTCCAACCCCAGCACTTAAGACAGGGTCTGTTATATAGAAAGCTCTTGAGTTTAAACAATAGATATTTTCCAAGTACCTGCTAATTCCCAACCATTGGGCTAGATGCTGAGTTTATAAAGAAAAGTAGAAGGCTGCTCCTCTTAAGGAGTGTACATTCTGTGTAGTCAATAAATGCTTATTAAATGAATGTATGAATGATTTTGTTAAAAAAATCTATACACAAATTCTTAATCATCAAATTTAGTGGCATCGTGTTTTCCTGAGTCACTATAGTATTTTACCCTAATATGTTTCTGTCTTTGTCTTTTGTTTCACAGGTCTATCTTGGTTTACTTTTTGCCTTCCTAAGTATTTTGACTCCTTAATTGACTTGCTTTCTTTTTTCTGCTTGCTAAGCATACACTCCAATATTTTACCCTGTATTTCTTCTCTGTTTTCTTCTTCTTGAATAGTTCATTCATGTACCTTTTTTTTTTTTTGAGTTGGGAGTCTCATTCTGTCATCCAGGCTGGAGTGCAGTGGCACAATCATAGTTCATCATCACAGCCTAAACCTCCTGGGCTCAGGTGATCCTTCTGCCTCATCCTCCCAAAAAGCTGGGACTACAGGTGCAAACCACCATCCCGGCTATATTTTTATTTTTTGTAGAAACAAGGTCTTGCTACATTGTCTAGGCTGGGCTCAAGCTAACCTCCCACCTCAGCCCCTCAAAGTGATGGGCCATTTACATAATTGTAACTAATATCTAGAACTTACCCCAAAACTCATACACTATCAAACTTTACAAATTATTAAGTAAGAAGTAACTGGTTTCCCCTTCCCCCACTTCATGAAGGTAAAGTTGACAAAATCGTATATATTTAAGGTATATGATTTTTATACATATACGTGTAACATCGAGCTAAATAACACATCTATCACCTCAAATAGTCACCTTTTTTTGGCAATGGGGTCTGAGAACAAGTAAGACCTGCTCTCAATAGATCAAGTATGTGTTATAGTTTTGTGAACTGTAGTCATCATGTAATACATTACGTCTCCAGAATTTAATCATACTGCGTATCTGAAACTTTGTACCCTTTAATCAACACTTTGCCATTTCACCTGCCCTCCCAGGCCTTGGTAACCACTGTTCTACTCTGCTTCCAAGAGCTGAACTTTTTAGATTTCACATGTAGGTGATATCATGCAATGTTTGGTTTTCTGTGCCTGGCCCATTTCACAAAGCAAAAGTCCTCTAGGTTCATTCATCTTGTCACACGGGACAATATTCCTTCTTTTTAGAGGCTGAATATTCTGCTGTATGTGTATTTATGTATGTGTATAGATTTGTCACATTTTCTTTGGCCATTAGTCCTTTGCTAGACACAGGTTTTTTCCATATCTTGGCTATTGTGAATAATTCTGCAGCGAACATGGGAGTGCACATATCTCTTTAACATACTACTTTTATTTCGTTTGGCTATATACCCAAAAGTGGAATTGCTTTGGTTGTATGGACATCTTAATAACATTAATTCTGTCAATCTGTGAACACAAGATATATTTACATTTATTTCTGTCTTTTTCATTTTCTTTCATCCAGTGCTTTATCGTTTTCAGTGAACAGACATTTCATTTCCTTGGTTAATTTTATTTCTAAGTACTTTATTATTTTATTTTGTTTATTGTTTATTTTATTGATGCTGTTGTTAAATGGGATTGTTTTCTTAATTTCTTTTTTGGATAGTTCATTGTTACAAAGTTTTTAAGTTTTAATAGTTTTTTGGAGGAATCTTTAGAGATTTTTTTATAATAGATGATATTATCTGCAAACAGAGATGATTTTAACTATTCCTTTCTGGTATATCTGCTTTTTTTGTTCATTTTTCTCCCTAATTGCTCTGGTTAGGACTTCTTTTTTTTTTTTTTGCTCTTTCTTTTTTTGAGTTGGAGTCTCACTTCATCGCCCAGGCTGGAGTGTAGTGACACATTCGTGGCCACCCCAGTGTCAACTTGCTAGGCTCCAGCAATTCTCCTTAGTTTTCAAAGTAGCCAGAACTACAGGTGTGCATTACCACACGCAGCTAATTTTTTGATTTATTGTAGAGATGAGGTTTTGCCAAGTTGCCAGGGCTGGTCTTGAACCTGTGGGCTCAGGCAGTCCACTTGCTTCAGCCTCCCAAAGTGCTGGGATTACAGATGGAGCCATCAAGCCCAGCCTAGTTAGGACTTCTAATACTAGTTGAATATAAGTGGTAAGAATGGACAATCCTTGTATTGTTCCTGATCTTAAAATAAAAGGTTTCAGCTTTCCACTGTTAATTATGATGTTAGCTGTGAGCTTGTGTTATGTTGAGCTGCATTCATCCTGTCCTCTTTTGTGAGAGCTTTTATCATGAAAGGATGTTATATTCTGTCAAATGCTTTTTCTCCGTCTAGTGAGATAATCATGTAATTTTTATTCCTCATTCTGTTAATGTGGTATATTACTTTTATTGATTTGTATATATTGAACCCTGCATCCCAGGAAGAAATCCTACGTGATCATGGTGTATTACCCTTTTAATGTGTTGTTGAATTTGGATTGCTTGTATTTTGTTGATGATTTTGCATCTATATCAGGAATGTAGGCTTGTAATTTTATTTTTTTTCTTATAGTGACCTTGTCTGAATTTGGTATCAGGGAATGCTGGTCTCATAAAATGAGTTTTAAGGTGTTCCCTCCTCTTCAATTTTTTAGGAAAGTTTGAGGATTTGGTGTTAAATCTTCTTTAAATATTTGGTAGAATTCACTGATGAAGCCATTTGATCCTGGTTTTTAAATAATATTTCTCAAAGTTTAGAAAAGATGTTCATATCTTTGAGCTATTAATTATTTCATTATTTGCCCTTATTACTCTTCTAGTCGAGAAAAAAAGATTATTTTTCCGGACATATACTTTGGGTTACAAATTTCAGAAACTTTTATTTATTTAGCTACTTTTAATAAATAATATCAGACTCTTTATTAAAAGTATATGTATGAGAACAAAGACTGTTTTACTTAACTATTGTATCCCCAGTACCAGGCCAGTAGTGGCTACTTAATAAATATGTGTAGAATGAGTGAGTGAGCTGGGCTCGGTGGCTCAGCCTGTAATCCCGCACCTTTGGGAGGCTGAGGTAAGTGGATTGATTGCCTGAGCCCGCAGGTTCGAGACCCGCCTGGGCAGCGAGACCTCATCTCTACAATAAATCAAAAAATCAGCCAGGCGTGGTAGCGCATGCCTGTAATTCCAGCTACTGGGAAGGCTGAGGCAGAAGGATCGCCGGAACCCAGCAGGCGAGGCTGCGGTGGCCGGGAGCGGCCACTGCACTCCAGTCTGGGCGACAGAGTGAGACTCCAACTCAAAAAAAAAAAAAAAAAAGAATGAGTGAATGAAATCTTAGACATGTCTGTTAACTATTTCTCCTTTATTTTAGGAACTTATTATCAAAACCGTATTAAGCTCAGCAAGAGATGAGCCATCTGGTCCTGCACGGTAGGTCAGATATTCTTAGACTTAATGTAACTATTCTTCACTTGGAATCTTATTTTAGAATTTAATTGAATTGTAGCAGTATAGATTGGGTTGTTTTTTTTTCCTGAGTTGCAAGTTTAAATTATTTGAATGATTAAATACTCTAACTTTTCTTCATGATTTAAATACTAGCCTTCCTTATTAACAAAATAAAATCTCAGTCACATTTTTCAATAACTTCACCCTCTGTATCTAAAATTATTTATTTTAATTTACCTTTATTGAAGTACCTTTTACTTCCTCTTCAGATTATATTTGTTACTGTCTTTTATGCAGCTTCTTGAAATACAGTAGCAGGTACCCAAAGAATTTTTGTCGAATTAAAATATTTTATTGTAGAAAGTAATATGCCTAAAAAAATAGTACATTTTAATATTTATAAATATTTTTTTCAAGATTTTTTTAATGGAATATAATTTATAGGATATTTACCTTTTTCCTTTTTTATTATGTCCTAAGAAATAAAATCTGACAAGCTATATCTAGCTTTTAGTTGAGAGAAAAGGTGCAGTTTTTCTTTTTCAAGAAACTCGCCCATAGCAGTCCTTTCTGCCATGAATCTTCCTTTTTCCTTCTCTTCTTCTTGCTAATAAACTTAAGTTTAAAACTTAAAAAAAGGTTTTAAAACTTAAAAAAAGAAAGAAAGAAAGAAAAATTGACATTTTCTCTATTTGACTAAACCTTTCCAAAAAAAATTTTATATTTAAATTAGTAGGTTACTAATAGTAGCAAATCATGTTCCTTCTCTTTACCCAAATATCAGTAAGTTACATTTTATATTTCTTGATGCTGATTCTAATAGTATGACATTCACCTGGACATTGGTCTGTACTGCTACTCCTCAGATCTATGTCTCTGCAAAGCTTCCTGTAGTTCAGTCATCTACACATTTTTTTTACCCAAGCTTCAAAAAGTATATACAGATCATGACTTGGACCATTTGGATTCTAATTCTAATTTAAACCTCTTTTTCCAGCAAATTAAGATAATATAAAATGAACAATTTGGTTACATTAGACATAGCTCCAGTTGTTAAAAATTTTAGTGCTTATTTTTCTTACATAGTAACCAAGTTAACACAAAATAAGTCTCTTTGAGCAAGTTCTTTTACACAAATCCCAATTAAATTTACAAGTGTAATATAATAGTATTTGGCTTAATTCTCATCACAATTTTGAGACTTTGTTAGAATCACCCCGTTTTTCCAGTTTTGCTAGCCAGATGCTGATGCTTAGAAAGGTAGCATTTATTAAGCCCAAAGCTGGCATTTAAAGCCCTTTTTATGTGTCAGGAACTAATTACTTTATATTTATTATCTCATTGAGTTTTGTGTCAGCTGTGAGATAGGTAAATTTTATCCTTCTTTTAATAGATACGAAACTATAGCCCTGAGAATTTAAATAACTTGCCCCATCACCCAGATATGACAGAACCATTAAGTCTTACTTAATAAGTAATAAGTAATAAATGGGCAGAACCAGGTTTGAACCTAGAGCTTAAAACTAGATCTTTGCTTTTTTGAAAAAACTGTGTTGCTTCTCAGGTAAAAAAACAAAACAAAACGTGGAAGCCTAAAACATAGCTACCTAGAGGTAGACCTGGGAATCATGACCACAACAGCTTGTTATTGAGAGTATGGGGAAAAAACAGAAATTGAATATAAGCATTATCTCAACTTGTTTTTCTATTCCTTTTAGTATTCTTTTATTAGGAGCGTCTATCCCCAAATCTGAGCAGGAGCAGAGAGTTGAGCTATCCTGGGAATAATCTAGATTAATTTTCTATCATGGAAGTATGTAGGAAACTCTGCACACTAAAAACCAAGCACATTGTGTGCTTACCTCGTCGTGTTACTATAAAAACTATTAAGCGTTTGTACACCCATTCTCTGCCTTTAGTTAGGTGCATCCAAGGAGAGCTTTGCTTCATTTCAGAGTTTACCATTGCTTTAGGATTACAGATATTTCCATAGCTAGACTTGAAACTTTGTTATTTGGAGCTATAAATATTTTCTAGGATTTATGAGTGGACTAACAGTAAGGAAGATATAAAGCAGTGGACTGCACCTGTAAGTCTTTTAGATAGTTGGTGATAGTAAATAATGAAGTGGTCTTAAAACACTCTTGACTGAAAGAATGGACTTAAGACCTTCTGATCTGCTGTGTTAAGGAAACAAAATATTTCTATATTGAATTGTTCTGAAATTTAACATCTCACTGAATTTTAAGTTAAGAATATCGGTATCAGGACTCATGCCATATATAACAGGAAACTAGAAGGAATTGACTTTTTATACTTAGAACCATTATATACTTTATCAGAAGTCTAAATTTGAACACGCTAATAGTATTCTTACTGATTCTTGTCATTAAGTAAATCTCTTCAAACTGAAACTCATGTGAAGTTAATGTTGCTAGGGAAATGAAACCCACAAGACATTAGGGAACAGAATAAAAATTCTGCAAATTCGGTTTCTGTTGGAATTTTTAAATAAATTATGTAAGTTTTGTGTTCTCAGTTTGTTTTAAAAAGAATTTGTAGCTAGCTGTGCTATGTTAAATTTAAAAGATACAAAAATAATATTTTGACTTATTTCATCAGCTTCATGTTTTTACTTAAGTTCATTTTGCTGTTGTCAGTCAAAATTACACTTTCTTTTTTGAAGCAGGTTATATATTTGTTTAGGAAGCTTTATAGCAATGTCAGTTAATTAGCATGGATTTATTAAAAAGATGCTGTGTGTTACCCCAGCCTATGATTTTGGTAGTAAATTATAATAGAAAATTAAACTTAAGAATTGTGGGAATGTGCTTTCTGCCCACTTTCTCTTCCTTAGTCACCTGCTAATGTATACAATAGCAAATGAATTCACGTAACTACTACATTGTTTATTCTGTGTCAATTGATTGTGGATGTTGTCTGTGTTGGTTTCATTTTTTTTTTAACCATTGTTGGTTGCCTTTTTATTGCAGCTGTGTAGCACTCTGCAGTTTAGGTATTTGGATTTGTGAAGAACTAGTCCATGAGTCTCATCATCCTCAAATTAAGGAAGCTCTGAATGTAATTTGTGTTTCCTTAAAGGTAAAGAAGAAAACTGTTTAGTGACTACATTAAGATAGTATAGAATGCATGATTATTTTTTCCCTCCAAATGTTAATTGTATCTTGTACTTTTATTATTATTCTTTAATTATTACTATTTTTTTTGAGTCAGAGTCTCACTCTGTTGCCCAGGCTAGGGTGCAGTGGCATGCTCATGGCTCCCACAGCCTCAACCTTCTGGGCTCAGGCAATCCTTCTGCCTCAGCCTTCCAAGTAGCTGGAACTACAGGCACATGCTACTCTGCCTGGCTAATTTTTTGATTTATTGTAGAGACTAGGTCTTGCCAAATTGCCAAGGGTGGTCTTGTACCCCTGGACTCAGGCAGTCCTCTCGCCTCCACCTCTCAAAGGGATTATAGGCATGAGCCACTGCACCTGGCTATATCTTGTGCCTTTATAGATTTAAAATTTTGATAAATGTCATTATTTTATGATTTTACTATTTCTGTGATCCTGACTCCTTAAAAATTGTCCTGTTCTCAAATTTAAATTATCTTTATTATGACCTGTGTTATCTCAACTTTTAAAACTTTTGTCCCTAAAATACATAAGCATGACTCTAAAAAAGGAAAGCAGTCATTTAAAACATATTGGAGGCGGGGAGGGAATAAAATAAAACATATATAGAGTTTTTCTGTTTGGTTTTTTTTAACTAGTATTTTTTGTAACTACTCTTTGATCTTTATTAACCAATTCCTGAATTCTTGAGCTGTTCAGCTTTTTGGTTTTATCTTTTCAAGTTAAATGTTCTCTTTGTAGCCAGAATAAGATTTGTTCAGAAGTTATTGTAATTATTTGGTATTTTTGTTTGTACAAGGATGCATGTTATTATTTTTGACTTAAGACTTGTACTATAGTACCTGTATAAGACTAAACATACAAAGTAGTTGATAAATTTTTTATAATAATGTTTATTTGACAGATATTTCTGAATATATACTAAGTTTGAGACAGTTCGCTAGGCAAAATAGATGATACCAGAAGGAAAAAAATTTATAAATACTAGCTGTAAAGGATTAATAATATGGCTGAAAAAGAGTACAGTAAGAGTAACAGAATATAAAAAGCTAGAGTACTAATTAAATGGGACATATAAACTGCTGATTGAGTTCAGAAGAAGCAGAGATCACTTTGTCTTAGCAAAGAAGACTTTGGAAAAGAGAAGACACTTGTTTGGGATTTGAAAAACGGATAAGATTTGGACATAGACAAGCATAAAAAGTTTGACTTTATGCCCTTAGGGAGTCATCTGAGAATTTGAAGCATAATGTCAGGATCAGAACAGTGCTTTAGATGATTCATTTGGAAGTGTTGTGAATTGTAGATTAGAATGAGGGGAAATGGATAATAGTGGTTTAGAGGCTGTTGCATAAATTCAGGTAAGAGAAGATGCAATAAAACTTTAATGAGAATTGTCAAACATTACAAAGAAAAACTAAAGTGATATATGTCTTTGGACTATGTCGTGATTTTTTTATTTTGCAGCTGGAGATTGATTAAATGCTAATAATGACAAAAAGAAATGTATGAAATTTAAGCTGGGTGCCGGTGGCTTATGCCTATGATCCCAGCATTTTGGGAGGCTGAGGCGAAAGGATTGCCTGAGCCCACAGGTTCTAGACCAACCTGGGCAGCATAGCAAGACCTTGGCTTTACAATAAATCAAAAAAACTAGCTGGGCATGGTGGTGCATGCCTGTAGTTTCAGCTACTTGGAAGGCTGGAGCATAAGGATCTCTGGAGCCCAGCTAGTCGAGGCTGTGGTGGCTGAGTGTGCTACTGTACTCCAGCCTGGGTGACAGAGTGAGACTCCGACTCAAACAAAAAAAAAAAGAAAAGAAATTTAAAATATTTCAGCAAGTAATGCATTGTTAAGCAGTTCACAAAGAAAGTTTTTATAACTATGATTTTTTTTTGTTTGTTTTTATTGCAGTTTACTAATAAAACAGTAGCCCATGTAGCTTGTAATATGCTTCACATGCTGGTTCATTATGTACCTAGACTTCAGATTTACCAGTCTGATTCTCCCTTGAAAATTATTCAAGTAAGTAACTTCTCATTTTTTATGACTTTACATACCTTGAATTATAAGACTATTCAATAATTTTTTTATTTTGCATAGCTGAATAATGGCTACCTTGTTTTTTGTGGTATCAAAGTTCTTGACAGTTTCTCTGTGTTTTATGTTAGAGGATTGTGTTCCTGGTTTTGGACAAAGAAAAGCATTGAAAAACAATTTATTAGTAGTAGTGAAAGTTAAATGCTATGTGCATACTGTGCCATTATCTTTATAAGTGTACATGTTGCTTCATTTCTTCTCCTAAGAAAGGAAAATATACCATCCTTTCAGTTACCAAAATCATTTATCTCCTTGACTCTCTAGCCAATCATTTATGATTTTTTTTCCATTCTAATTCAGTGTCTCTTATGCTTTCTACAACATCTGATGTATTTCAGCCCTTCATTTTGACTTTCTTGAGGTATTGCAGTAGGCTTCTAACTGTTCTCCTGACTTTATGGTCTTCCCTTTCAAGTCATCATTGGCATTCACATGATTCTTATCATGTCACTTACTGGGAAAAACATATATGATTTTCCTTTCACTGTAAATAAAGCTCAAGTTCTTTAGCTGTTAATTCAAGGTCTCCTGGGGGAGAACCCAGCTAGTTTTTTCAGAATTGTGTACAGATTCCTTTAATACCATGTTGTCCAAGCAGTTGAGTCTATATCACCTAAATATACCCATTGCTCTCTTCCTTCTACCTGAAATACTTTACTTCTCTTCTCTGTCCCCCCCTCTTTCAGTGATTGGCTTAAATACTGTCTCCTCAAAACATAAAAATCCCTGTCTACTTTCTCTTCAAAAATGTAATGGCATACAATAAAAATTTTAACATTTTAAACATGCACATTAAAAAATTGAATAAGACCAAGTGATTTCCAAGGTAAATTCTAACTCTGTGTATAAATAGTTTGTCTTTTTAAAATAATGTCTTTTTTTGTTTTGTTTTGCATTCCCTATTTAGTCATATAAAGAGTATAATATATGTTAACTGGAAAAGCCACTTTTGTTTAGAGACTTAATTTGCATATATTTTTTAAAGGCCTGGAAAGACTACAGAGTAGATTTCTTTTTTTTTTTTTTAACTTTTAAATTTTTTTATTTCAAAATTGTGCAGTACAATTGAGGGTTAGGTATACAAATATGCATTGTACAGGCACCCTTGTTGATGAGGTGTGCCCCCCCCTTCCCCAGGCAGATTTTGACTACTGTCAATCCCACCTTCCCCTCCACAGTTTCCTGCTACTGTCAGTCCTTTTCTTATAGTATTACAATAGTTGTTCACAGTCCACTTATGAGTGAGAACATATAATACTCAGTTCTTTGTTTCTGTGAAAGATCACTCAGTATTATAGATTCTAATTCCATCCAGGTTGCTGCGAAAGACAGCAGAGTAGATTTCTTTGGGTGGCAGGATTACAGTGGTTTTTATTAATCTTTTTGCTATCTGTGTCTTACAGTTTTTCTACAGTGAACATATATTATCTGTGTGTTCATACATATTGATTTACCCCATGAATTAAATTAGAAAGAAGCCTATTTATAGTTGACTACATATATATAAAATATGTATGAAATTCTGGTTCTGTACATGAAGATTGTAAATGATTAATAGTTAAGTGTACTTGAAAAGCTTACCTAATATGTTGCATTATTCTTAAATAACAGGGTTATGTATTTAGGATAAATTTGCAGTAATAAGTTTTATATCACTTCAGCATTTAAGTTTTAGGATGTACCATTAATTTGACATATTTTGAGCGCCTTTAATTAAAACATTTTTTTTGCAGATTCTAATAGCCACTATCACTCATCTTTTGCCAAGTACAGAAGCTTCATCTTATGAAATGGACAAGAGGGTAATTTAAATTTTGTTTGATGTTTAATATATGGTTATCTAATAAAGTATTTATATTTCAAAATGGTAAAGGTATATAATATTTGCATGGTAAAAATTAATTCATCTTGTACTATAGTGAGAGATATGTCTTTATGTTACTTAAGTTTAACTAACTTATATTTTGGTTCAAATTTTATGGCCATTTAATAAAATCTTTGAATCTCAGGATTTGTAAGGAAACTTTGAGGACTTTCTATCCACTTATAATTATTTTGCTATATTCTGCCAAATTATGGTCTTATCTGTTCCTCAGGATTCATCACTTCTGAAGATAGCTACTTGTATAGCTGTTACTGGTAGAAAGAAAAGATATTTTTAGTAGCATAGTATAATAACATATAGAGATATGTCACTTAGGAGAAAATATTCCTTTTGTCCACCAAAAAGTTCTACAAGGTAGCATTTCCTTCAATAAATTCATTATGACATTTCTTCATCAATTACATACTACATCTTTTTTAATAGATTCTTTAGCATATTTGTCATAATTAAAGTTATTATATAGTAATCCCAGTATCTAAGTTATCACTAAGTCCATTTCCATTGAATTTTTTTCCTCTTGACTATGAGTTCCATTTTCTTGTTTGTTATTATGTCTGTTTTTTTTTTTAATTATATACCAGACAATATACAGAGATGTTGTAGACTCTAGATCTGTACTGCTCAGTATAGTAGCTACTAACAGCATGTTGCTTAAAGTTTAAATTAAATTTAAGGTTCACATTAAAATTTTAATTTCTCATTTCCACATTTTAAGTGCTAAATAGCCACACAGGCAAATATAGACCACTTTCATCACTTCACAAAGTTCTGTAAGATAAGGCTGCTCTAGATTCTGTTAATTTCCTCTGAAAATTATTCTCTTCCTTTCTTTTGTCATATACCAATCTTGAGTTCTGTTTTTCAGGTATCAATGTTACTACCCCTTAATAATATTATATTAAAAACTCAAGTATATTTTATTTACTGCTTATATTCTACCCATAATTTGTGGTACTCTACAGCCATAGTTATTTCTGGACCTATGCCCAGTTGTTTTCTTGTGCGGCTTATGTACCCTTTATACTTTTCTTCTTTCTGCATTATTCCTACTTCTGCCATATGATTTCTGATGGCTTTCCTATATTTGCCTCAGAATTTTTTATTCTTTCCCTTAATATTTAATTTAAAGTTATTTAAACAGATTGCTTAGCTTTTGATAAATACATCCTTCTTCATCTTTAAAAGAAACATACACAGCACTCCAATTTTAGCCAAGAGTCCTGCATTTTAGTTTCTCAGGCTATGGTCTAGAATTCTAAATCCAATTTGTGAATAATATCTGGATAACTAATTGCTCACCTCCTTCTCTATCATCTTTGTCTTCCAGAAGCCTAGCTACTAATATGAAGATTCTATACTACCAAGTTGTTGTTCCCTGCCCATTTAATTTACTAGACATTTATTGATGAAAAATTTGTGTGTGGGATTCTGCTGGGCACTAGTTAAGCAGAGATAAACAATATAGTCCCTGCTCTCACAGAATTTAAAGATTAGAGAGACAAGTGAAACAATACAGTATACAAGGTAGGATACAGAAGGAAGCCTTAACTGTGGTGAGGGCTTGGTAAGGGAAAACTTTCTTCAATATGAGTAAGATTTTCTACGTAAGTAGAACAAGCGGTAGAGTCAGAGTTATTCTAAGTGGAGCAAATAGCATGTATAAATCTGGAAGCTGTAAAATAGTGTCATGTTTTGTGGAGAAACACTAGGCAGTTCCATATTTTAGAATATGAAATGCACAATTGATAGTCTGGAAGAAAGAAACTTCAAAGATAGATTGGGACCAGGTTTTGAAGGACCTTGAATGCCACACTGTGAACCTGAGACTTTTGTCATTTTTTGAAAATGACAATTCTGAAGGGTTTTAATGCAGAATGAAATATGACCAGATTTGTGAAAAAAATCACTTGAGAAAATGTGAAAGTTGACTTATAAAGAATAATATGGTGGCGCTATTAAATTCATCTTTATAAGAATTGATGCTATTCTAAACTAAAGCTTAAAGGAATAGGGAATAGATATTCACAAAGTGGAATACACAACCGTGTAAGGAGTAATATCCAAGTAGAGACCACCAGCAAATTTGAAAATTTGAGGCTGTAAATAAAATTATTGATATTGTCAGCACGAGTGGTTTTAAAATTGTGTGACTCTATGAGATCGCCTAAGGAGATAATAAGTAAGAAGAGTTAGCAAAGTATAGAACATTGAAGAATAACAACTAAGGAGCAGGCAGAGGAAAAAGGTTTCATAAAAGGGACTGAAAGGACTAGTAGGAGAGGTAGGAAGGAAGAAGACTAGGTCCAGGAAAGAGTAATCACGGCTGTTTTTCTTTTCTGAGAAACTTGCCCATGGTAGGTCCTTCTGCCTTGACTCTTGCTCTTTCCTTCTGTTCTTCTCACTAATAAACTGTTTTTAAACCTTAAAAAAAGAGTAATCACACAGAAAACAAGATTAAATAGTCCCTAAAATGCTTTTCTTATCTCAGAGTTTATCATTCATTCTTATACAAAGCAGCAGGAACAAATAATAGCATGTATTCAGTCATATATAGGATATGTGTCTGAGGAAGATGACACATTGTTCAATGTACCATTTTACACCTATATGTACCATTTAACAGGGAGTCATCCTGCAGCATGATTTGTCCCATCTCCCATGGGACAGTAGCACATTTCTTTTAATTTAATTTAATTTTATTTTTGAGTTGGAGTCTCACTCTTGTCGCCCAGGCTAGAGTGCAGTGGCACACTCATGGCCACCACAGCCTCAACCTGCTGGGCTCCAGCGATCCTTCTACCTCAGCCTTCCAAGTAGCTGGAACAACAGATGCATGCCACCATGCCTGGCTAGTTTTTTTGTGTGATTTATTGTAAAGATGAGGTCTCGCCAGGTTGCCCAGGCTGGTCTCGAACCGTGCTCAGGCAATCCACTCGCCTCAGCCTCCCAAAGTGCTGGGATTACAGGCTGAGCCACCAAGCCCAGCCAGCACATTTCTTTACATTCCTCAAATATGCTTTGTTATTATCTCTGGGATGTCTAACATTCCTCTTTGTAGGAGGAGCATCAGAATATTATGTAAGTCCACTGGTTCTTCGCCACCTGTGTTGCATTCTAATACTTTTTATTTTCTTGAATCAGGTTTTGATTATCTTCTGTTTTATTAGAAGTTTGCACATTACATATAGACAAATATTAAATTATTTTCATTATTATGTTATTCTTTCTCTAAGAAACTCTTAATCTTCTCATGCAAGCCATAGTATTAGGAGGCATTTGTCATGCACGGCGTTCAGAGTGCTTATAGTACAAACATAACTATTCCTTAACCTCAATTTTTTTTTTTAATTATGAATAAATTTTGGATGGGGCAGGAATTTTCTCAAATGGCTTATCATCATTGGTGAATATAGCTTTACCATTTTAAAAAAGATAGCTGCAATAAGAATGAAGAAAAAACAACATTTATATATTGATTTTTTTTAAAGAAAGAAACATGCCAGCAATGTGTACTTTATATACATTATTTCAACTTCAAAACAGCTTTATAATTCTGATAGATATGTTATAATCCCCATTTTTCAGAGAGAATTGAGGCTCAGCTGCCCAAGTTCACTCAATTGTTACTAAATAGCAGAGCCAAGACTGGAACCTTGATTGGAAGATAGATGCCAAAGTTCATATTCTTTTTATTTAGAAACATCAATTCAGAATTTCCATTTGAGTTTTATGGTGGAATTTTTTTTCTTTTAATATAATTTTAAGTTTATAGAAAAGTTGCAAGAACAGTACAAAGAATTATTTGTTACATTTACTTTATCCTTCTGTGTGTATGTATGAAATATATAGAGAAATATAAATTATCACTATATGTGTTATTTTTCTTCACTTTTATTGCATTTGTCTTTTAAAATGGTGTGTACATTGCCAACTATTGTGTTTTTCCTAAAATCAAACAGTTCTCTTATATAACTACAGTACAGTTATCAACATTAAAAAATTAACGTTGGTATCAATGATACTTTAGTATTATCTAATCTACAAATCTGATTCAAATTTTACTAGTTGTCTCAATAGTGTCCTCTAGAGCAAAATAAATTCCCAAATCATGTGTACATTTAGTCATAATGTCTACTTAGCCTTCTAAAATCTGGAATATATTCTTAATCTTTTTATATTTTTTGACTATGGTATTTTTTTCAAAGTTTAAATTTCTTTTTTATTTTAATTTTTTAGTTTAAAGATGTGGAGTACAATTCAGGGTTAGGTATACAAATGTTCATTATGCAGGTACCCTTGTAGATGAGATGCTCCCTCCCCCCCCCCACCCGGCATTTTTTAATAATATAGTCTAGTGGCTGTATAGAATTTCTCCCACGCCTTTGGGAGACTGAGGTGAGTGGAATGCCTGAGCCCGTGGGTTCGAGACCCGCCTGGGCAACTTGGCAAGACCTCATTTCTACAATAAATCAAAAATTAGCCAGGTGTGGTAGCGTGCGCCTGTAATTCCAGCTACGTGGAAGGCTGAGGCGGAAGAATCGCCGAAGCCCAGCAGGTCGAGGCTGCGGTGACCGGGAGCGGCCATTGCACTCCAGTCTGGGCGACAGAGTGAGACTCCAACTCAAAAAATAAAAAAAGAATGTCTCACAGTTTGGGTTTATGTTTCATCTCAATGAGATTAGCAGTGTTCAGCCGTATCAAATTTGTATTTGGCAGGAGTACCTTAGAAGGTTTTGTGCATCTCTTAGTATATCATATCAGGTGGCATAGATGTCAGTTTGTGCTAACTTTAATCATCTGATAAGGTGGTGTCTGCCAGGTGTTTTCATTGTAAAGCTACTATTTAACCCTTTTCCATTAATAAGTATTTGTAGGAAGATACTTTGAGAGTATACTGTATAAATATTGTTACTCTTT